TTCACTATTTCTTAGTCATTTTTCTTTCTGTGTTTCAATTTGGATAGAATCTATTGTTATGTCTTTGAGTTCACCACTAGCCTTTTCTTTTGCAGTGTCTAATGTGGTGTTAATTACTTCCATTGTACTTTTTATTTCAGACTTGTATTTTTCAACTCTAGAAGATTCACTTTTGTCTTTTCTATATCTTCTGTTTCCTCTGATCATTGTGTTCATGTTGTCCTTTATCTTTCTCAATATATAAGAATATATTTATAACTGCTGTTTTACCACCTTTATCTGCTAAGTCTACCTTCTGGGTCATTTTTGAGTTTGTTTTTACTTTAGTGATGATCTTATGGGTTATATTTTCCTGTTTCTTTTTTCTTTTTTAATAGGTCTTTATTGGAGTATAATTGCTTCACAATACTGTGTTAGTTTCTGTTGCACAACAAAGTGAATCAGCCATATGCATACACATGTCCCCATATCCCCTCCTTCTTGAGCCTCCCTCCCATCCTCCCTATCACACCGGTCTAAGTCATCGCAGAGCACCGAGCTGATCTCCCTGTGCTGTGCTGCTGCTTCCCACCAGCCGACTATTTTACATCCGGTAGTGTATATATGTTGATGCTACTCTCACTTTGCCCCAGCTTCCCCTGCCCACCCCATGTCCTCAAGTCCATTCTCTATTTCTACCTCTTTATTCCTGCCCTGCAACTACGTTCATCAGCGCTATTTTTTTTTTCCTGTTTCTTTGAATGTCTGATAATCTTTTTGTTTGTATGACAGACTTAGCAAATATTATATTTTTAGCTGCTGGATTTTTTGTATTCTTTTAATATTATGAAGCTTTTCTGGGACACAGTTTTGTTGCTTGAAATCAGTTTGATTCTGTCAAGGTTTGCTTTTAAAATGTGTTAGGGTACGTCCAGAGCAGCTTTTAGTCTACGGCTAACTTGGTCCTTTTTAAGGATTCTACCTAATGCCCCATGTATTAGAATATCTTTCTACTCTGGCTGGTGGAAACCTGAACTATTTCCAATCTGTCTAAGCTCCAGAGATTATTCTACCTACTCCTTTGCAAAGGTTCTTTTCCCAGCCTGAAGAGTTTCTTCATAGGCGTGTTCATAAAAGTATTCAGTCAAAGGCTTGAAGGAACCCCTCTGTACATCTCTCTAAATTCTTTTTCACTTGGTAGTTCCCTTTTTCTGGCATTTTTCTCTGCAAATTCTAGCCATGTTGGCCTCCCGAACTGCAAATTCTGTCTTTTTAACTTAGAAAATTATCTAAGATCTCTTTGGATTCCCTTCTCTGGGTTGCAGCCTGGAATCTCTCCCAAGCAGTAAACTGTGGAAATCATAGAGTTCTCTTCATTGTTCCCTTTCTCTCAGTGATCACTCCCCGCAGCTGCCTTTGACCATGTCTAAAAACCACCGCTTCATATATTTTCTCTGGTTTTCTAGTTGTTTAAGGTGGAATGTATATTCAGCCCTTTATTATGGCCTACACAAGGATTTATAATTTGTAAATAATAGGAATACAAAATACAGATAACACCAAAACTATCTGAATAAGCTTTACTTTTTATGAGACCTCAAAATCTTAGATTGCCTTCTGGTCATATTTCTAAGAATCAGTTATCATATATTATAGTTCTGCAGAATGGTATTGAATATACATAACATGCTGGGAGAGAATATTACATCTTTTCTCCACCCCCTCTCTCACTATCATCCTGGGTGAAGCCAATATCTAGAGACAATTGCTGCAACTCTCTATTTCCACAACACTTTAAAGTGTTGATTATTTTCTCAGTGCCTGTCAGATCCATCTTCTGAGCTTCTCTGCTTCTTTCTGTCTCTTGTTTAGACTTAACCAACAGGAGGCCCTGGCAGGAGATCTAAGAGTAGAAGGAGACAGTGATCCCATCCTCACACATCCTTTTCTAACCAAAGTTTTGCCAATAGCTGCATTCATCTAGTTATGGCCAGAGCTCCTTGGTTTTTTAAGCCTAGGGATGAAAATGGCATGGCTTTCTGTCTGTACTCATTCCTGAATGTATCACCATCCCTTGTTGGGTTTTTTTGTTTCTTTGTTTTACCTGCTCACACCTCTGTAAACAGTCTTTTTATTAAACTCTCTGGTTAATCCTTACATGGGTTATTCGTTTCCTGCTGGGGCTTCCGCACCCTCAGGCCACACTGTTAATGCTTCCCCTTTGAAATCACAAACTCAATATCCCAATCTTTGACCACAACTTCCTATCCTTTCAGTTCTCTATTTCCTGCGCCTGATCCCTCCCTCTCCTGCTTCCCCATCTTTCAGCCTTTTTCTGGATTTATTTTCTTCCCGATCCAGCCTAGATTCAATAGTTCTTCATTTCACTCTTATGTTCCCCTTTTATAATAGTTGTCTCCATTTCAAGAGTTCTAACTCCTCAGCTTGGTGTTCAAGTTTTTTAAATACTCTGGGTCTTTACCTACAAAATGAAGAGTTGGATAACATAATCTCTAAGTAGGATAATCATTGCCCCCAAGCAGGTTGCTTTCAAGGATGAAAAGGGGAACTATTCATTATTGCACCAGGACACAGGACAGTCCCAGTGAAACTGGGCATGTGACCATCTATCTCTATAGCCTCTTCCAGCTCTAGAATATATGATTATAGTACACACATTAAAACCAGAAAATAGATCTCTGTTTTTTCTGGAGTCATGAGGTTGCAGCTTACTATATGTTCTGCTTAGTGAATACAACAAAACATTTGGAAAAAATAAAGATAAGAATAAGAAATCAAAGGCACAGAGGTAAGGGTTGTGAAGTGTGAAGACAGTGCAAGAAGATCCACAAACACATGTTTCCTTCCAAATCTCAGGCTTATCAGATAGTTGCCCTCAAGGAAAGGCCCTGCTTTTTCTAATAAACAGGTGGAAGTGAGCCCACAGAATATTCTACCCATTTGGGTATAAATCTAATGCCCTCTTGCCTACTTGTCTCTTCTCTTCCATTTTCAGTTTTCTGTTTCAAACCACACAGAAGCTGATGCTCTGCCCTGTGTGCTGCCTACTATCCCACAACAAAAAGGCTCTTCCAACTGAATAGCTGTGGTCGCCATGGTAGCTGGGGGTCATAAACTCCTGAGCTGTGGGTCTTGGCACAATTCCATGCATTATCTGCATCCTGGTGCAAATCAGTCCCTTTATCTAATTAGTAGGCTTACAAATAGCCACCTGCCTCAGAGCTTAACCATTAAAGACGCAATATTGCTGAATAGCTTGAGACAAGGGGTGAGGATAACAGAAAACTGAAAGCTGATCTTAGCGAGGTCCTTCTCTCCTGGCTACAGACACCTGCAAGCCCTGGCCCACCCACATAGCAGAAGTTCAAAAAGAGGCCGAGAACAAATCGCTTCTGTCTTCTTTTCACTGCTCACCTTGAGTGTCTCTTGATCCACTAGCCTCCCAGAAACTGGGCCTGCTGACTTCTGCCTGTAGGACATGCTTGATCATTCCTGCTCAGGGGCCCAGCTCTTCCCTTCCTCAGAGCTTCCTACCCGAAGCAGCCAACCCTGTCTCTATTTCTAGAATTTGACCAACTGCCCTGGCCTGCTGTAGTCCACATCCTGGTCTGGATACTTCAGAACTATCTCCTGATTCACCTGAAAGACTCTATCCTTTCTAACTTGCTTACATGCTAAAACTTCCTTGTGCTAATGAAACATACTCCAGATACATATTATCCAGATGTTTGTCAAGTTCATCTTTTTTTCTTCCAGTAAAAACAAAATTATTTTTATTCAACATTTACTATGTAGAAGCAAATATCTTCCTACATTCATTCTATTAATAATAATAAATCTAGACTGTTAAAAAGTTGAAACCAATGCATTCTGAAGGTATATAATGCAGTGAATCTGACTGTTGCATCCTGGGCTGAATTTCAGAAATGATACCAAGTGCTTGGGATGGATGGTGCTAAAGAGATGGCAGCGGACTCCAGCTACGACTTTACGGTTGATGCTGTGGTGCCACATTTGTGTGTTTCTATCTATTACAAAAGCAAAAGAGGATTCTAATCAGCATATCCACCATGAGCTTCTGGAATTAAAACAGACAGAAAACTCACCCAATAGTCTCTTTTATTCTGGGGAATATTTATTCCAGATGTGCAGAGCAAGTACATGCCTCACTATAATTTTATTGTCATGTAATGATTTCAAAATTTCCTGCTTTTTATTATTGTGTTATGTGTTTATGAGAATATATATCCAATAGAAACCTATTAAGCTAGGAAATGATTATCTTTACTATGCTGGTAATGGTCGGTCAAATATGAAAACTATGGCAAAGAACTTAAAGTAGAAAATCTTTACTAAGTCTTTTCATTTATTCTTTTGTTGGTGCAAGCTATGATTTCTTTTGTTTTAGTATCAGATTAGTCACTCCAGTTTGAAATGATACCAAGCAAAAAGGTTTCTCATACTTCCTGAGACATGCTATTCCAGAGGCTAGCAGATCTGACTGATACAGCCTTCTTGATATTCAGATACAGTCTCTTTCCTTGAAGTTTCCATTGTTCCTACTTATTAATTTATATTTCTAAATAAAAAATATCTTTAGGGTCTCTGAAAAGAAGTAAGTGTTTTGAATCTGTGCAAGCAAAAATGAAGCCAGGCCAACATTCTCTCCCTGCCCACTGTGAACCCCCCGCCCCCAGGCAATTCCAGGAACAACCAGATTAAATATTTATGCCCCAACCAAAGCCTAAAGGCCATTATTTAGGTTTCTTCTGAGAAAGGAGAAACTACAAACTTAAAAACAATAGCTATCTTTGTAAAAATTTTTCACTTTTCTTCTCCAACCCTCTTAAGTAAGAGTTGCCAAGCAATCACCACTGTATTCAACACAGATTAAAATATTCCTATGTGCAGTTATCTTTTTGGCCACTTCTAATCATTCTTACCTGGTGTTCAACAGTAATCTTATTAAACAACAGCATTCAGTACTTACGGAGGTGTTGTCTTCCTGGTACATAAATGCCTGCTCAATGTCTGATTTCTCTCCAGACTTTAAACTCCATGAGGGCAGGGACAGTTCATTCCTTAATCACAATTCCAACCCTGTGAAAAGATGTTTATAACAAGAGGTGTGCCATGATGCTTTTATTGTTTAGGAACTGTGGAGAAGAGTAAGTTAAAATTCTATGCCTTTTGAGAATTACAAAGAGCATTAATAGTCTTAGTAACTTCTTAATAATATAAACCAATTTACCATCAATTGATGAGCAAAAGCAGTGTCTGGGCTTCAAGAAAAAAAAAATGGAAAAGGTATGTTTGCTGAACCTATGACTCCAAAAATTAAAGAAAAAAAATTCCCAAACAACCATTGTGTTGAAAGGATACCCCATTTGACACCTGTTGAGTTACTCAGAGGGAGCTCTGTAAACCTAAATTGCATCTTTCAGAAACACCTGAGATAATCTGTAATTTCTCACATGGTCTTTGAGATCTAACTTTTGACTTAAAGATAAACTTCCCAACTTGACAAATTTAAATTATAATTAATAAATATAAAATCTTTTTTTTCTCCAGACTGTCTTGTCCTCCTCTACAAATCCCACAGAGGACAAAGTAGAGAGGGCAGGAATGCAAAGGAGGTCTGTGGCTTGGAACTGGCCCAAGTCAAACTGAATTTTTCTGAATATACATTGAACTGTCAGCAAAGAACACCACGACCCAGAACTTGAACAAAGGGAAAACCCCACAGCCCTCTGAAGTCACTAGTTCCATGAGGTGTTTTCCAGGGATTATTCACGTGTTTAAAATGTGTCCATCCAACCGCCAACAAAACCTCCTCATGAACATACCACTGGAATGATTTCCCTTTCTCTATTCCAGGTGAAATGTGCATTCCTCTGAGCAACTCACCTTTGAGAGCACTTGCTGGACCTATAGATTCTCATATCCACTCTGAGACTTGCGGTATAGGGTCCTGCCCTCATCTTAAAAGGTCTCAGGAAACTGATATCCTGAGATCCGGGACTGCAGGACGGTCAGAACCTGAAGGTAAGCAAAGGACCTCAATTCTTCCCGAAGCATCACCTGACAGAGACAGCCTAGCTAACATTGTAGGGTTCCTGACAGAGGTGTACGGAGAGCGGAGAAGGGAAGATGGAGACAAAGACAGCTAGCTTACTGCTCAAGACTGGCCCATCTCCCCTCATTCTGGGATGACTAATTGAGAAAACAAAAGGTAAGTGAGAATCATCTTCCCTCATGTGTTTATTAAGCTCTTAAAGAGGAATTCTCTGCTGACTATGTTGATTCATTTCTTTATACCTTAGGGATATAAACTTAAGATGGCATTAGTGGCACAGAAAATAAAGAATAGACCGAAGCATAGAGTTAAACAACTTTAATCTTCAGAATTCTAGTGTCTGCTTAACTAGTTGTGTGAATATGAGCAACTTAACTTCTCTAGGAACGATTTCCCATCTTCTAAATGAGAAAGATGAGGCCAAAATTTTCTACGATTACTTCTAGCTTTACCTAGGTAATGAATTTTTATGAATGCTGCATGTAAGCCAAGTAGAAAACATATGCAGTAAGATATAGTTGATAATAGTATTAAAAAAGGAATCAGGAAGGATGTGTGTCAGTGAGAATTTGCTGCTCTTTTCCAGTCATCTTGGAGAAAGTTATGAAAAATATAGAATGTTTTAGTGTGTAAGAATGTCTGCCGAACTAAAGGGTACAAGATTTCTAGACATGAGTTGTAGCCAAGGAGATAAAACTTAAGGATGCAGTAGAAGTATTAAGGAAATTTTTCCTAGAAAGGAGCAAATATAAATAGCAGGGGTGGGGGAAATAGACGATAGTAAACTCATAAGAATCAGAGAGCTAAAGAGCTTTGAAATAGGATGTGAGGACTCAGACATATTTGAGAAGATATGTCATGGTCAAAATGAAGGACAGAAAAGATGACTCAAACCCATCATAATGGATTTATAGAGAAGGCTGATGGTGGTGGCCATGAACCCAATGAGGTTGAGGAGGGTAGTAATAACAGCTACCATTTATTGAGCACTTACTAAGTATTAGAACACTTTGCTAGGAAATGTATAAATACCTTGTCTAATTTCTAGAACTCTCTCTAAAGGATATTGTGATATTCATCCCATAGATAAATAAACGAAGACTCAGGAAACGTGACTTCTCCAAGGGCTAACCCAGGTGTCTCTGTGGTATTTTCAATACACCATTACTGTTTGCCCATGAATAGGAAAGCTCCTCATCCAGGGCTTTGGGCAATCAAGAATTATTAAGAAAAAAGTTAGTCAGAGATAACCATCGATAGATCAGATGGAATTATTTCTCCTTGAGCAAAGGGACTGTGTCTTCCTTACCTACTTGTTCCCTGCACTTAGCTCAGGGTCTGGCACAGAGATGTGCCTCCCAGATGCCCCTTCAAGGAAAGACTTGCTGCCCAGCTGCTGAGAGTGGAGTCAGCCTCCAGCTGTTAGCTCCATCAAGGTTGGCCTCAGCTGTAGATAAATAATTGCCTCACCTGAAATCATGCCTTTTCCGGAAGACTGCATCCAGTAACTGAGCAAGAAGGGGAGAGTGGTGTTGGAGGATAAAGGCCTGAAGCTGATTTGAGACAACTCTAATGGGCAGTCTGACGTCAGAGCTCCCCGCTCAATGAGCTGAGATCTTGTCAGTTCTACTTTGCAATTTGACTTCTCTTGGCCCAGTTCTGCTTCTCTTCTTTTCACAGGTGTTGATGCCTAATAAATATCTTGGACTCCAGATGCTTCCAGAGAACACAACCTGCAACACACCCATTATGTGTCTAATAAATATTTGAGAAATGAATGGATGGATAAAGTGGTATGAGTTAAGGAGCATTTTTAGAGATTCCTATCCCCTCAAAAATGTTCCCAGTAGCTGGTGACTGAGATTCTACAATCAGAGGTTTATTCCTTTTTCTTAGTGCTTCTGCTCTTATAAATACTCATGAGGTAAATAGCATGTTAAACTTATTGGACACATATATCCTAGTGTAAAGAAAGTCCTGAAAGCACATTCTGATAGGAGGAGAGAGAGAAAAAGCATGAGAGCACTGATCAAAGAGCACTAAGGACTTGTCTTCTGCAGCTCAATCATTCAGAAGTCGAGCAAAGTGAAACCAACACAGAAGAACAAGGGAAGCACGGAGGTCATTTAAAAGGGAACATCATTTCCTTATTTATGCTACCTTGGTGCTGTTTGCACGTGAATTTCCACTCTCAGATTTTTTTCAACCCTGTGGTGATAGAAAGATTCCATCATACCAGCAAAAAAAGAAACTCAAGCTTTCCAGTGAGCCTTTTTATTAATTATCACTATCATAATAACCATCATCATTATATCATCATCATTGCTATAATAAGCAAACATTATATACTCATTTTAAGTGACCATAGTGCCCTAGTCACCGAAGTCATTCTCCAGGCTTTCTTCTCCTTTGTATATCATTATTTCGAATATTTCTTTAAGACAAAATGAAAATGGCATGTCTACTTTCATATACAATGATTTGCAAACTCAACCTCTCCTTGGTCAACTGAAGGAAAATATCTTCAACAATTGAATAGCTAAATAACATTGTTACCTCAAGATACTTTCAATCTTTTCTTATAAATACCTTGATGTATAGAAGATTTTCACTTCTCCCTTAATGTCTCGCCTCTAAGTAAGGCCTTAAAATCTGAAATAGTTTTTTAAATGCAGTGCATTTATTTCTGTTCAGAAAATGTTATAGGTTTTACCTTAGTTTGTTTCATCCAAAGCAGTTTTTTTTTAATATATGTAAATACAAAGTAATTGGAATTGGAAGAAGGAAAAATCACTCTAAGGACATTGTGCACCCCCATAACTGCTTTATTCTCCCTGTGGAACAGTGGCTGATGACGCTTTTGTCATGTTACTCATCCTTAAAATCCTGTCCAGCTCTCTGAATGCATCCCCTACTACAGCCACACTATCGCCCCCTGCCGTTCCCTATCCACTCAATATTCCTTTCTGCCAATGGACAGTTTTGCTCCTCCTCCTGATACCAGGTTTTGAAAGAAGAAAAAAAAATTATTTATTTCTTAACTCTGCATTCTCATTTAAAATCTCTCCCTTCTTCCCCTTGTTCTCACCCACTTACCACCTCTCCAGGTCACCTCTGACCCCTACACCTCCCCAGCCATTTCATCGTTAACTTTGCCTGAGTCAGAGGAATGATTCATGGAATCATAAAACTCAGGGTGGAAAAGAACCTTAAAGGTCAGCTAATTTAACCACCCAACTAAGTGGAAAAACCAGCTTTTATTTTCATTCTTTCTTCCCTGACTTCCCAAACTCAATTGCAAGCATCAGAACAATGTCTCTAGTTGTTATGGAACTTCCCGCTTTGGATATCCTTTTAAACAAGGTAGGTTCCCCTCTCTCTGAGATAGCTTAGGTAGAGTCCTGTCAGTGGTAGACAATGGATTACAGATGAGAAACCAACAATCCTCTGAATATAAAGTTGGTTACTCTCTCAAAAACTGTTTAAAGATGAGCATGTTTATTTCATTTGCTCCATTTATTCTATGGGCCAACTAAATATTGTCCCCAGAAAACATAGACAATTCAACAAAAGAAATATACAAATTGCCCATAAAAATATTAAAATATAATCAACCTAAGTCATGGTAAGATAAATAAATGTCAATTTAAATTACAGTGCGATTATATTTCTCATCTATCATATGGCAAAAATTTTAAACAGGCACTCTCATACATTGCTAATGGGTGTGTACAAAACCTTTATGGACAGGGATTTGCAATATCTAACAAAATTACATGTGTGTCTACCTTTTGACCCAGCAATACCACTTCTAGGAATTTACCCTGAAAATACACCTCCAAAACTATAAAAATATATCTGTACAATATGACTCAGATTATTCATTGCAGTATTGTTTATAATTGTTAAATATTGGAAACAGCCTTAAATGCCCATTTACAAGAGAGCACTTGTATAAACAATGATGCATCTACACAATGCAGTACTAGGCAACTGTAAGAAAGAATGAGTAAGATCTCTATGGAACCAATATGGAGTGCTCTCCAGGATATATTGTTAAATGAAAAAAGAGAAGCATATTTACAGTGTTATTTTTGTGTAAGAGAGAAGAGAAATTTAGAAAATACACATACAACTACTTATCTGCACATAAAGAAACACAGGACAAAACAGAAACTAATGATACTGGTGAAAATAATAAAAGGAATAGTAGGAAATTACACCACTCTTTATATAATCCTGACTTGTGGAATCATGGGAGTGCTTCTTCATATACTCAAGAAAACAAGGATGGGCAGAAACTAAAATGGAATACAAACAGAAACAAACAAATGAACCAGTTGGGAGACAGGGGAGAAAACTAACTCAAGTAACTTGTAAGTGGAATAGTTGGACTATATATCTTCAGGCTAAAAACAAAAAGTGTTAACAATTATTGAAGTGCAGTCAGCAAGGGTTTCTTTCTATCACTGACATAAAGGTATGAAACTATTTTCTGTATATTCTAGGATTAAGCACATAAGTAAATATACAGTGGTCAGTGGGAGCCCGATTCCTCACTGACAAAGTTACAAATGTGGAAAGAAGGAAGGTCTAAATGATTCCTGTGGCTTTTCCCAGCTCTGTCTACTCAGAAGACCTAGAAGCAGTGACACCTATTCTCCATTCCCAAAACAAAACAAGTCTGGGGCACGGAAAGGACAACTGAGTCTAGAAAATCTTTTTGTGGCAGAAAATAAGGATGTGCTTCAAAGAATGGTGGAGGCATACCAAAAGGACAAAGAAGCCAGATCGAAGAGCTTCTCACTAGTCAAAATCTGGAAATTTGAGCATCGAAATAATAATAACAGGAAGTTATTATAACCCATTGAATGAAATAAGAATCCATGAGTCCATAGTCCTATTCATAGATACATACATATGAAGAGAAAGTTCTTCCTTACAGTACAAAACCAACTAATGAATATAGAAGAAATGATGGACTTGGAAAGTCACCATTAACAACCATCATTGAAGTAATTGATTCAGGCAAGAATCATTAATGGGTACTAAACTAGTATGTATGAATTTGATGAGTAACAGAGTATTTACATAGCCTTAAAGTTTCTCCCATAAGATATTTATTAACTACAATGAAAAAAGCAGTAACTTTTCAGTGGAGAAATCTGGCAGACACCTCCTTAACCAAATGATTAAACATTATCAGTAATGGTGCATGTCACTACCACATGCCTCCTGGTATGATACCCTAAGAAAGACACAGCATCACTCCTGTGGAATTCCTGCTGAAAATGCCTACCCCGAATCTAACCCTGAGGAAACATCAGACAAATTCAAATTGAGGAACGTGAGGAACAAAATATAATTGGCCACACACTTTAAAATGTCAGTGTCATAAAACACAAAGCAAGACGGAAGAATTGTTCTAGGTTAAAGGAGACTAAACTGAATGCAATGTGAGGTTCAGCAGGGGGGTTTGTTGTTTGTTTTGCTGCTGTTTTGCTTTTGTGTAGTTGTTTTCTATAATGGTAATTACATGGACAATTTGAAAAATCTGACCGTATATTAAATAATAGTTATGTATCAATGTTAACTTCCTGATTTTGATGATTACACTTAATTATGTAAAAGAATGTCCTTGATTTCAGGATATACACTTGAAATAATTAGGGATAAGTGGCATCATGTCTGCAAGTTTCAGTTTTTATCTTTTTGAGGCTCTAGGTGAAAGGTATAAGAGAATCCTTTGAAATTGTCTTGCAGCTTTTCTGTAAGTATGAAATTATGTCAAAATAAAAACACATAAGAAAAAAAACTATTATCCTCTTGTGGTCGATCCCTCCATTAGTTACTGTGCATTTATCACATGCTCTCTACTTCATTTTGTGTTTCATTCTATGGGGTCCTCTACCCACACACATCGTGGTAACAAAATTGAAAGTTTGGGTGGAGTGGGCAGCCTTCTGATTCTCCTGTCAGATGTAAAAAGCAGACATATTCCCATTTTTGTTTAACATGTACCAAATCCATCCTTCACACACAGTAGTAGTTTTTATAGGTACATATGCTGCTCTCATTATGTCATCTATGAAAGGTGGCTGCAAGAATATGATGTGAGACATTTGGGCCAATTCCAATCCTTTTCTATAAATCTATTCTAAAGCAGGAACTCTTAGACACCTATATAGTCAGTCTAAAGACGACTAAGGGAGACTAAAATAGGAACATTTGTACTTTTTTAAAAGTATCTATATACTTGAAGAAAAGCTTGTCTGCACTATATTTAAGTCGTTGTGCAAAATGTGTATGACTCATTCATTCGTTCGCTCAGAAGGCCTTGATGGAAAAACTAGTACTCGTCAAGTTTTGTGGATAAGTTCTACAGATTTTAAAGCTAAAGGAAATATTCCTCTTCTGGAACAATATTTTCAGGAAGGAACAATGTGGTAAGTGCTGTAATTGAATTATATACTAAGTATTATGGAAACACAAAGGAGAGCATGATTAACCTCACAACAGTTGATATTAAATCACAGAACAAGAGTCAAAAAAGCAATAAAAGACACCTAAGCTACCTGCCTTTTCCAGGCCAACATCCTAAATCTTGTCTGTGGTATTCCTGACCCCTGAACATCGAAAGGGGTGAGGTATCATCCCTACACCTTGGAAATGACTCAGAGGCAGGGGCAGGGAAGAGGTGAGGCACTGAGGTGGAGAGAGTTGACCAGAGCAGAACGTCTCTTAGCCTTCTACTTCCACCCATGCAGAGTGCCTCCACTTCATAGCTTTAAGGTATACACTTGCCACAAAATAATATTTCACTTGATAAAAGGATATTGGTGCTAAAAAACTTGAACTGAACATGAATTTTAGCATATGATTTCTCATATTGATAGGAGTGTGTGTGTGTGTATTTCCAGCTAGAATGTAATTCTCTCAATACCTGGCATCTAGGTACACAAAAATGTTGTTCACAGAGGTTGTGCTAACAATAGTTGGTTTATGTAAAATGATAAATACTGCTGCATTGTTCATAAGAGTGAAACACTGATAACTACAACTTAAACATCCAGCAAATGGTCAGATAAATGCTACACTGAGCCATACTTTGAAGGGATTTTTTTATGGAGGTTGATTAATATGTGCTCATCAAGAAAATTGTTCCAAATATGTTGTCAAGTGTACATACAATTTTATTAGCATTAAAATGCTAATGAAGTATGAATCTCGATTTACAAATTCAAATATGCAAGAAAGGTAACTTTTTTTTTTTTTTTTTTTTTTTTTTTGCGGTACGCAGGCCTCTCTCTCACTGTTGTGGCTTCTCCCGTTGTGGAGCACAGGCTCCGTACCAGCAGGCTCAGTGGCCATGGCTCATGGGCCCAGCCGCTCCGCGGCATGTGGGATCTTCCCGGACCGGGGCACGAACCCGTGTGGACTCTCAATCACTGCGCCACCAGGGAAGCCCGAAAGGTAACTTTTTTAAAACGATGGACTTATTTTCTGTTTTAACCTTATTTTTATGTGGTAATAGAAATTAATTCCTGATATTGCAGTTGTGTTCCAGGAAGGCTTATTTAGGGTCAACATATGCGTGAAGAGACATCTTGTCCTTGATTTTGTCCTCTATCAGGGATCCTAGGATCCATTCTCACCCTGTCCTGTCACCCATCTTAGGATCACTCCAGTCATTTCTACATCCTCCCCTTCCTGAGTCTGGCTCTCCCAGCTACTTCCATGCCCTTCCCTAGAGTCATTCCATTCACGCTACACTGTAGGAAATTCTGAGAGACTGTCTAAAGTCCAATGGGTCTAGACACACCACAGTGGCATTTCGTGGGGCCTTGACACCACCCCTGCCTGAGGGTCTACCAGGACAGCAGGCACAACCTCTCTACCTTCAGATTCACTAAACCTGCTTGCATCCTATCTCTCCACCACCAAGTTCACTTGAGTTGGGGAGTCAGGGCAGAGGACCTTCTTTCCCAGGAACCCATAAAAAAGGATGCCACATACGGTTGTATGGTTTGAACACTGCACAAAGGTACTTGCTTAAGTATGAGTAGGGATGAAATCTAGAAAGTCAAGACCCTTGGCATGACGCCAAGGCCACTGGAAGAAGGAAGGGCTTTTGTCTTTGTATGAAAGTGTTGTCAGCCACCTAAGCCACCGCCCTTGGGAAGGATCTGCTCAACAAGGCACTTTACTGTAATTCATTCACCAAAATGTGGCCTTTTTCTAATTTTCAGAATGAAGCTGCATAAGAAGCTAGAGGTCCTTTCTTCCTCTCTAAATCTCTCTCTTCTCCCAAGAATTGATAGCTTTTTTATCTAGTCTGGAAAGCTCTAAGGCTTCTTCTGACTTACCATATGTTCTTCCAAATCTCTTTTTATTCCCTAAGTCTTTTTCTATTCCCACAAGGGCTCAAAATGTTGCAACCCAAAAGTTGTTGACTTCCTTTTTAAACGCATTCAGTTGGGTCATCTTTTCCCTGAGGCAGTGAATGCAGAATGTGCTAGTTTATGGAATGGGTGAAAGGCCAGGACCACCAGGAAATACAGGGGGAAAAAAACCCTCAGTTAATATTTCAAAATGTCATCCTACCACTGTGTGGGCATAGACCACTTCTGGAAGGCTACACTTGTCTAAACTGTTTGCAGTAATTCTCCTCAGGAGTGAAATTTGGGGATGAGATCTCTATTTTTTGCTATATAAATTTCTGCATTTGAATTGTTTTTATAAGGAGCTTGTGTGACTTTTGCAAATTTTCTTGAAATACAAACATTTTTAAAACTGGAAAAAAATGTTCCAGTGTACTTTTAGTGATGGTATCCAGAATGATACCTTGTTTGTTCTCCCTTCTCCTGAGTGCTTTGTGCTACACCTGCCTCTCTATGGTCGAGTTAAACTATTTTTAAATTCTTGATCACTGTATAAATGATGACATTAGTGTGAGTTATGGAAATGGCAGTATTAACTGATGGAAACATGATGGAAACTGATGGAAATGTGGATTAAAATGTACATAATTGGCATAATTTAATATGATTTACCTTCCAGGTGGGGCCACAAAGGGTCCCATAACTGGAATTCCAATTTCTCACTTCCTTTTGCAGATGAGGAAGGGCCAAAACTTAACAGATAACAAGAGTAAATCCAAAAGGGTGGCCCAAAGGAACAGAGCTGAGAGAGCTGGGACAAAGCTCCTGTCCATATTCCAGGCCAGTGTCTGTTCTGTCACAAAACACGCTTTCTCAGTTTGGGCTACTTCTCTTCTTTAGTGAATATAGAGAGAATGGTGAGCAGAAGTGGATTTAAGTGAATGAAGTTTAAACTTCAAGTGCCTAATTTGCATGGGCCCTTTCTAAGGTCCTGAGAGGGCCACAGCATTGTGTTCACATGCGCACCTGATTTTGTAAAATGTGCAAAGTAAACTATTTTTTAACAGCAATTGGTTCAGGCCACTGTCTCTTTCCACTCCAGCATTTCCTCCTACTAGGTGACATTGGGTGGCCATGTGACTTTGGAGGACATGATTAAGGGGTGGTTGATTCAGCTGGGGATACATATAGTTTCAGTACATTGTCATATATGTATATGGTTCACAGATACTCCCATGAAAGTCATCACCAGCTATCCCCATGCAAGTATAGAGTACAGATTCTAAGAATCTCCTTACAGCCCATTGTGTCAACTCTCCTGGCCTCCTGACACAAAGGTGCAGGGCCAGACAGTGATTCCTTCATAGCTCAGCTCTGACGGCATGTGATGGTGGAGAGATAATGTTGAAATGTATGGAACCAGAAGCTAATCCATAGAAAATTCTTTCAAATATCAAGTGTGTAAAATTTTAACAGAGGATTTGGTTCTCATCAAGATCTTATCAAAACAGATGTTTTCTCTTGTCAGGAATATATTTTAAAAAGCAGTGCATACAATTATAAAAGGTCCATATTTCTCACAGTTTATGCTAATTGTGTGAGACAGAATTTATCAGAATTTCTCGATTTGAAGGGAACAAGCCTTTAATTATATTAAAAATAGAAAGCAGGTCTATCACAGTTCAACAATATGATAAAAGGTTTTCCCAATTTGACAACAGTTGTAAAAATTTACATTACTAACAACGATGGTGCTAAAATTTTTAAACTAATAATTTAAAAAAATATTCAGGGGCTTCTCTGGTGGCGCAGTGGTTGAGAATCCGCCTGCCGATGCAGGGGACACGGGTTCGTGCCCCAGTCCGGGAAGATCCCACATGCCGCGGAGCGGCCAGGCCCGTGAGCCATGGCCGCTGAGCCTGCGCGTCCGAGGCCTTTCCCCCGAGGGGGGGAGGCCAAAAAAGAAAAAGCCCCCGGACCCCAAAAAAAAAAAAAAAAAATTCAATCAAGACTAAAATATCTTTCTTGTCTCTCTACAGAACATAAAATTGATATTTAGTAAAGAAGCAAAGAGTATACAGCCAAAACAGTATTTTTTAAAAAGTAGTATAGAGGTGTGGCATACAGTTAATTTAAAAATTGCTCTTTTCAGATTTTTTTTGTACTTGTGACTTTATGAACTTTCATATATTATAATTTGTGTGTGTTTTTTGTGCCTAATTCTGTATTCTTTTTTTGAAAAAGGCCCCTCAAATTATTATATGCTTCAGGAAGCCATCGAATCCAGATTCACCCTGACAGGGAACATAGTTTTCTTTTGATGCTTGCCTCTAGCAGCTTTGTTAATCCCTGCCTTTTCCTGATTTCCCATCCCACTTCCCCCTATTTCTTTTTTCTTTTCTTTTTTACTTATTTTTGGCTGCGTTGGGTCTTTGTTGCTGCGCACAGGCTTTCTCTAGTTGCGGTGAGCGGGGGCTACTCTTTGTTGGGGTGCGTGGGCTTCTCATTGCGGAGGCTTCTCTTGTTGCAGAGCGTGGGCTCTAGGCTCCTGGGCTTCAGTAGTTGTGGCGCACGGGCTTCAGTAGTTGCGGCGTGCAGGCTCAGTAGTTGTGACACGGGCTTAGTTGCTCCGCGGCATGTGGAATCTTCCTGGACCAGGGATTGAACCCGTGTTCCCTGCATTGGCAAGCGGATTCCCAACCACTGTGCCACCATGCCCTACTTCTTCGATCCCTCATCCTTGAAGGTAACACACACAGAAGGCTTTCCAAGATACCTAGCCAAAATTAATGGTTCTTGTTTACAGTTTTCACAGCAGCCAATATTTGCCTCTGACATCATACTTATCAGAATCTTCCCTGGATTAATTTATACATCACATATATATTGAGGACCAGTTATATGCAGGGTTCTGTGCTGAGTCTCAGTACTTCCTTTGGTCCCAGCCTTGCCCAGGATCCTGAATTTTAGAAGGCCCTCCAGCCACACCCCTCCAAATGGGTTGGAGGTCTGTGGGCCCGGTGGGGCATGCTCATCCAGAGCCCTGGTCTCCTTTCCTAAATCACGTACCTGGGACTCCAGAATTACTTGCTTAAATCCACACTGAATCTGCTTCTGCACGGGCCTCTTACCCTGGTCCTTCCTCCAGAGAGCTGATTTGCCATTGGTATGCTCACTCCTAGGGCCAAAAAGAAGCTGTTATTGCAGTAGAGGAGAAGGTACAGAGCTTGGATATAAAGGGGGAGATCCTATGCTGTAATGGGAAAAGAAAGGAACAAGCTAGTAGTTTCATTTCTATCATGCCCCAGACCCTACAAATGTCAGTTATGGGCCTGCTAAGACTGTAGTTGGAATGTCTATGTCTTGTTTTTCATCCCAGAGGTTCCTAAACTTCCTCTGCCTCTATAATCTTTTAGTATCTTTGTAATTTTTTCATGGCATAACTAGGGCAAAAGAAATGCCTATCAGTTCCACTTATTAAATCCAAGCTACTTAATAGTAGTAATTCACATGATATCTTACAGATGTCACATTGTTTCCCTCAAAAATGTAAAGTATCCTGCAGCTACCCTATGAATTTTCCAGAGACCTGAAACACCTCAATGCACAGTTTTAGAATTGTCTATCCACTAGAGTATGAGCTTCTTTGGAAAAGATATTGAGTCTCATTCATCATCACAAATTATATTTTCCAAAAATGACCACATTCGAGTCCTACAGGCTTTTCTAGAAACTTACCACTCTCTCAAGGAGATACGAAGTCTAATTCCCTTCCCCTTGAATTTGAAGGGACTATTGACACACCTGTAATCAATGAAATGTGGCAGCAATGGCACTGCATGACTTTCAAGGCCAGGTCATAAAAGGTGTTACAGTGTCTACCTTGTTACCTTAACCTCTTGCTCTGAGCTGTCATGTAAGCAACCCAACTGCCTCGATGCCTCCATGCTGTAAGGAAGCCCAAATTATCCCACTCAGAGAGACCACAATGACAGGCCCTGAAGCTGCTTGAAGGAAAATAGAGTCCTCAGCTCCTCTAGCTCCCTCCTCTTCTAACTCCAACCACTACCTGAGTGCAACCATATAAGGCACCCAATGCTGTAACCACCCATCTAAGCCCTTCCTGAATTCCTGCACACAGAATCTATGATCATAATAAAGTGACTGCTGTTATTTTAAGCCATCAGTTTTGGAGTGATTTTTTTAGACAACAATGGTAACTGGAAACATTTTTTTTCTTATTGCCTTGACAGCATAGTATATTGAATATTTTGAAAGGTTAATAAATGTTCATCAAATTGAATGGAAAAATGGAAAATCTCAAAGTAGCAGTGATTAATCTAAAGTTACGCATGTACATGTTGAAAATATGGAAACTTAGGTTATATGTATTCTGATTTCGTAGCAAACCTAGGATACTAGGGTTTGATCTTCTTAGAGTTTTAATAAATCCCTTAAATGAGTCAATTACCTTGCCTTTTCATGGTAAGGTGCATGTCCTCACAACAAAGGGCAGGAAAATAATTCTAAATACTCACTAGCAAGCTCACTATATCATGAGGTCACCGTAGGGGTCGTGTACGCTGAATTATCAATTCCAGTTAATTGAGGATTTTAATTAGTCAATTCAGATTAAGCAAGGTACTACTATAATTGGTGGATTCCAAAGGCAGCCATCTGTTCCCTTTGTGAGTATTAATATTATGTCCTATAGCGTCTATCAAGGAAAAGAATTTGTCAAGTAGAAATTCTCTTAACATTAGCAAAAGGTGAATGCTTAGGAAATAAAAGGGAAGAGCTGGGGAGAAAACAGACTAAAGACAGGAAAAAAGAAAAAGCCCAGGAAGAAAGGAAAGACTCCAATTATTTGCTATGTTAAAAGAATCAAACTGAATTTAACTTAGACATCTGTTTATGCCTGTTTTTTTTTTCCATTGGAGTGGAGGGAGGTAATTAAAATGCCATGTAACTGCTTGCCTTGTATGCATTTCTAAGCATAATTCAAACTCTTATGAATCTGCCCTCTCAAAGAAATAGCTGATTATAGAAACAGAACAAAACCTCTTTGATCCCTCTTGTGATACAACTAGGTCATGAGAAGTAGAATTCCAGATATATTTTGTTTTAAATGATTCTTCACGAAAAATCTGACTTGGGGAGGTTTTTGAAATGAACAATGACGGAAACCAAGGCAGAATATAAAGCAAAAGACTTGGTGACATTAAAAAACACCAACTCTGCAAAGGTTACCTAAATGGACTTATTGTTGACATGACTTTCTTTTTTTTCCAACCTCCTTCATAATAGGGGTTTTTTTCTAAATGAACAATGCCTAAAAGGTGCAATGATAAATTTCAGGTGCGTGTAACAGTAGACGAATTGTGCCATGCAAAACGCCATAACATCTTGGGTACCGGTGGAAGAAAACAAAGGACAATATTTATGAGTTTCTCATAAACTTCAACCTGTATTTCTAGTGGTTTTTTAATCTAAAATACATAAATGTATCTTTGTCTTCTAGGCAGAGGAAAATTATTGTGCTTTTGGAATTAATTGTGCCTCTCTCTAAAAGCAAAAAGTTAACATATTTTGCGGAGAACCTAGTATTTTTTAACACTTACTCGTAAAATAATATAATTAAGATAAGGCTGTATATCATTTAAGGTGGTTGTTTTTTGTTTCTTGTTTCCCCTTACAAAGAACAGACAACCTCTTACAAACTAGTTTAAAAACCAAAAGAGACTCGCATAACAGTAAAGTTCAGAGTTAGGACTGGCCTCAGGTGTAGCTCAATCAAGAACATGGCTCTGTTTTCCTACAATTTTCCTGGTTTTGCCCTCCTTCATAATGTCATCTTCAGGCTTCCCTCATGATTCCAAAACAAGTCTCCCAGGAAGGTGGGTTTCATGTGCTCTTACTCACATCTCCCAACCTGCTTGAGATTGAATTTTCAGTGCAATCAACTGATTGGTCTACACCAATGCAGGTCCCACTCCTGAACTGAAGGCAGTTCAATCCCACACAACTAACAGCTGCTACACAAGAGGAGGGGTGGCTCTTCGAGGAAAATCTGAGTACTGCAAGGAAGGAGGGAAAAGGTGTATAGGATACCAGAAGATAACTGATGTTCACTACAGGTAGTTCGTGCAAACCGTCACAGCAGCGCTTATGTTTTTGGGCAAGTATAACTATGGGAAAGTATAAGATTTTCATTAGAAAAAATAATCCTTCTGTTCTAAATTATGTTTTTAACAAATGCAGAAATAATGAGTTTATCAGAAACAAATCAAAGAGTCAAATTAGCAAGAATTTCAACTATGGAAAATGGTTTATATAATTCTGATTCATCTAGCAAATATTAACTGAGTACTTACATATACCAGGTGCTGTGCTAGGTTGATACTTTTATTAGTCTATTAAGTATCATTATGATACAAATAAATAGGTAATATAATTGCTGGTAGCCTAAGATGCATTATTAAAGTTTAAATAAATAACATATATGATTTCTCTTAGGCTTTTAGAAATAGGCCCCCCCCCGCCAAAAAAATATATTCATGACTACCATTGTGTATCATGAGTGATACGAGGGCCCCAGATTAGGAGCAATGACCAAAATAAAACAGAACAAAAAGTGTAGACACTAATATATATGCATAACTCATATAAATCCTATACACTGTTCGTATTAACTTTAAAGCTCAATCCTCCACTAAATCATTCTCTAGCACGAAGATACACTCTGATGAGAGGCTTCCAAATTTCTTATTTACCATTTACTTCCCTATAGGAGTCAGACCGAGCCACCTGGACTCAATCTGAGCTCAATCTGGGGTGGTTTCTTCATCCTATGACATGGAGCCTCTCAACCCCAGACCTCAGGGTGCCACTGGGTATGCAGCACAAGAATTAACCTTAAGAATTAATATCATTAGTGTTTAGGTAGCTCATAGCACTCACAAATTTCTCTCTAACAAAGAATAGTCTGAATTTTATATATCAGTCAAAAAGCTAGCAGAAGCGTACCCAGGATGAGCCAAGCATGCAGCTGACTTCGCATTAGCAATGAATGCATGCTGAGCACTCACTTTCCACTCCCCAAATTTCCGTCCTGCACCCACACAGCCAACCTGTGTTCAGACGATCATTTTTACTAAACACTTCACCTCCCACAAAGCAATAGTGTGGATGATTTATATAATTAATGTTTGTAAGGGACTGCTAGAGCCTGGTCTGAAAGACGCCTTTGAAGAGGAAAAGATTGTTGATGCTATGATGTCCTGGATTTCTTATCCTTATCAAGACTGCTTCTATGAGGAAAAGCTACAGAAATGATAGATGGGACCATTTTTATTCAGCACAGTTACAGGTGGCAAAACACTGCTGTAGGACTTAGGCAAGAATATGTCCCTAGGTGACATCAACTGTATAAACATGTATCCTGTCAATCACTAAGAATGTAGGTACGATAATTTATAGACCAGGGGTAATGTTAATTCCATCCTGCTTACAGTGTGCTCTGTACTGGAAAAGTTCAAGGTGCTTTGCAAGCACCATAATTTAGTGAAGCATGAAATGAAAGCTACACATAGGAAAGGTGAGGTATTTTGAAAAATTAAGACATTATCTTTATTCAGCTATTAACCAAGAAGGACTGACATTCAGTACTACAAATGCTTTCCCCCATACAGACTACTTTTGTTGTTATTTAGGGAAGGAGGGTAAAGGAAATTGATCTCCACTGAGGGTATACAATGGACTACACATTGCTAGGAGGTTTCACATTATTTATCTTGTTTGAACTTTAAAACATCTCAGTGAGGTATATTTTATAGTTGAAGAAACTAAGGCTTAGAGGAAACATTAATCTGGCTGAGATAACATAGGCTACCATGTGACAGAGCCAGGAACTTAAGCCAATTTTGCATGATTCCAAAGCCATTGCTCTTTCCATTACACGTACAGCTGTGGACTAATAAACACCATCAATCTGATAGTTTCTTTCTTTTAGGAGCTTGTCCTTACCTTTGCAAAGAACCGAAGAAGCATATATTTTTCAAATAAATTATTCTTGAAATACCCGTGAAGGCGTCTCATACCATGCAAGCCCTCATTTCTCTTTTCCATCCCTGAATTATGGACCAGAATATACAGTTTAGTATTTGATTACTTACAGGAAGCGTCTATTTTAAAATAGTACCTGATTTATACCTACCCACTGCCAATCAGACACATAAACCACCTCCAACACTTCTACCATCACTGGGGTCAATAAAGTCATGACTATGGTAGGAATTCCTAAAGGAAAGAAAATTATTGAGTTCATCAGTGAAAACACAGAAAGTATCTGACAAAACAGGAATGCCTTAATATACTGTGGATGGGCAGGCAGACTCAAGAAGCTCTCAACTCAGAAGTAATTTACCCTCCTGTAGACTGAAATTTTAAAAGATAGTTTGTTATGCTATTGGAATTTTTAAAACATAGCAAATCCTTTAAATTCATTTAAAGGATAAAATACCCCTTTCCTAAAATACACATTCCACCAAGGGGCATCTAACTTTCACAATTTAGGGATAATTCAGATGGTTTTCCCAATACTTCTGTGAGATCAATTGCACCGAGGAACTGTCCATTTTTACTAGGAGAATGAAGATGGAAGTAGTTAATTTTGAAGCATGGGGCAGCTTGAGGGAAGTTCAAGGATCAAGGTACAGTGCTAGGCTTGGGCCAGTATGAAGGCATTCAGTACTAGTAACCTGGAGAGATAGGATTAATAGAATAAAAGGTACATAGAAAGGGATATGAGAGGATGTTAAGAAGACATTAGAGGATTTGGGAGAGGTATTTGACAAAATTATTCTGAAGTTCTTCCAGAAGTGTAAATACAAAGGACACGACTAACAGCTGAATGGATATACAAAGTGTGGTATTACCTACAATGGAATATTATTCAGCCATAAAAAGGAATTAGGTTCTGATACATGCTACAATATGGATGAATCTTAAAAATATACTAAGTGAAATAAGCCAGGCATAAAAGGACAAATATTGTATGATTCCACTTATATAAAATATCTAGAATAGGCAAACTTACTGAGAGAGAAAGTAGATTAGAGGTTACCAGGGGCTAGGGGAGGAGGTTTATAGGAAGTTATTGCTTAATGGGCACAAAGTTTCTGTTCGAGGTGATAAAAAGTTTTAGAAAAAGAGTGGCGATGGTTGCACAATACTGTGTATATAATTAATGCCACTGAATTGTACACTTAAAAATTGTTCAAATGGAAGATTTCATGTTATACATGTTATGCCACAATAAAAGAAACAGTAAAAAAAAAAAAAAGAAGGGACAAGTCAAGAAAAAAATTAAAGAACAAAGCAAGAGGAATGAAATTAGTCCTTGCCTTGCTATTTATTAAAATGCATTATTTTAAAATTATGATCATTAAAACAGTGAGATCCTGGCACAGAAACAAAGAAACAAATAAATGGTACCAAGTAGAAAGTCTATAAACCGACCTGATTATACACATGTATTTGGTATGGAATAAAGGAGGAATTTAAGTCAGTGAGAGGAAAGTAATGTATGAGCATCAACTAATGAGCCACTTGAAGAGGAATGCCTCCTGAGGGCAGGAATTCTGCCTGCCTTACACAGCAATTATTCCCCAAGCAAAGTCATACCTGGTACATTGTAGGCATGCAGTTAAGGTTTGTTGAATGAATTAAAACTCATCCCTATATAATAAAATACACCAAAATAAATTCTAGATTGAATAAAATTTTGTTTAACTGGGAAAAAACATCAAATACTGATAAACATGAAAAAGTAAAAACCTCTGTACATATACATCAAAAGGTACATAAATAAGATTTAAAAGAAAATGAGAAGCTGAAATAATTATATATGTATATTTGTAATATATGAGACCAACATTGTGCCTTTATTTATAATTAGCACTTTTAACTCAATAATAAAAGGACAACTACCTCAAGAGAATAATAAAGTGTACCAACAGTCATAAAAAACTACAAATAACCAATAAGACTATGAAAAGCATCTTATATCATTAATAATCAAAAAAACTAAAATTAAAATGATAGATACTATTTCACCCATCAGGTTGACAACTATCAAACTATCTAGTGTTAGCAATGATACAAGAAATGAGTTTTCTCACACATTGCTGGAAGGGATATAAATTGGTCGAACTGTTATGAAAGATAATTTGGCAGGAAATACCAAAAGTGGTCACCTGATTCTATTTCTAATAATTTAGATTAAAAATAATTTAAAATGCATACACATTTTTAACCTACAAGTTTGTTTATTTCAGCATTGTTCATAATAGAAAAAAGATTATAAACATTTCAATGTCCAACGATAAGGAATCATTAAGTGAATTTATGGTACATCCATACCAAAGAATACTACACTATCAGGAAAAAAACTGTTATAGGCTAGTTAACGAAATGAGGGAAATGTTCATTTTATATATATTTAGGTTTAAAAGCAGGTTATTAAATATTATTAGGCAAAATGATCCCATGTTTTGTGGAAAGGAAAAAATACAAAAACTGAAAGAATAATGATCAAAGTACTAATGGTGATTATCTGTGATTGCCAGGTTAAATGGCAATTTAAATGTTATTATTACTAACATGATCTACTAATTGTTCTTCAATGAACATGTATTGCTACTATAATATAAAAGCAATAAAAGATGGCTTTAATTTTCATAAAGAAATAAAATAACAAGGAAGTTTGTCCTCTGTTCTCAGGACCCATGATTAATCAGCTATAATATCTGTCTCTTTCCCTGTGTGAAGCACATTTCTAAGAGCACTTGACACTATTTTATTTGATCCTTACCCTTTTATTAGGTATCATTAACCCCATGAATGAGGTCCTGGGTTTAGAAAAAGGAGTGTGTTCAAGGCCATGAAACTAGTGGCAGAGCTAGGAATGCCCCCCTGGTGTCTGATGCTAAAGCTTATGTTCTTAACCACAAACTTTCCTGGCTCTGTTATGGAGTAGTTAGGCTTTTGGAGGGTAGACAAAAAACTAACCACCAGGTATCACAATTTCTGAGAAAATGTTTTGGCATTCCAAACAACACACTCAGAAATGGTCATTGGGAAACAAATTTTTCTTAAAGTGTGTCACTTCTACCGACTTGCACAGTCTGTGTCTGTGTCACATAAATTCTTCTCAGAGGCAAAGTCCAGTACTGGGTAAGAGCACTACGTCAGAATTAGATTCCCTGGGTCAAACCTGACTCTAGCTATCCCTTAAGACCCATAAAACCTTCTGCAGTTATTTAACATCCCTGGGTCTGACTCCTCATCAGTACGATAAAGATAATGAAACATCCAGTTATAAGATAAATAAGAACTAGGGATGTAACGTACAACATGAGAGATATAATTAACACTACTGTAGATTATCCATGAAAGTTGTTGAGAGTAGTTCCTAACAGTTTTCATCACAAGGAAAAAGTTTGTTTCCTGTTTCTTTAATTTTGTATCTATATGAGATAATGGATGTTCACTAAACTTATTGTGGCAAAAATTTCATGATGCATATAAGTTGAATCATTATGCTGTACACTTTAAACTTCTACAGTGCTGTATGTCAATTATATCTCTATAAAACTGGAAGAAAAAAATAAATAAATCTAAATTCACATACATGCACTCATACATACAATGATTGTCCTACCTCAAGGGGTTCTGGTGAGGATTAAATAAACTAATCCACATAGCGCTTTGATAGCTTAGTGTCTGACACATAGCAAACACTTGATAAATGGCAGTTACTCAAATCATTAATGTATTCTCTGGATAGTAAACTCTCCAAGGGCAAAAATCACTTGTTACATTGCTTTTGAATTTCTTAATGAGCATACTAGATGTTTGTTCAGTGGATTGAAGCTGAATGTGAAGTATTATCTGAAGGGAAGTCTCTGCACTGCAAGCTCTCCGCTCTGATTCAACTTCATCGAGAGCCCTACCTTGCTAACCTTTGTTCACTAATAGGAGCCTTGTTTTATTCTCAACTGCAATGCAGTGACTAAAAGAAAATCACAATTTTAAGGCTGTCTTGCATTTCGTTATTAAACATTATTGCCGTTTACTGATTGCATATCCAATATTTAAATGCAAGTTACTTTCATTTCAGCAAGGCCTTTCAGGGAAAGATGTAATTTTACTAGTCTAAAAATTGTTAAATAACACCTGAATTGTAACATCCTTGAATGTTTATTTATGGCACCCTGTAGAAAAGTAACTAACCTATTTCTCTCTTTCAGCAAGAAAGTAGCAAGAAGGAATCAGGACTCAGTCTTCCACTGAAAGTATTCAATCTGGATAAATCTGAGATGGCTAGCAATGTTCATGTCCCATGTATTACTCTGAAGTCAATGAAGATGAAAACCTCACTTTAGAAAGTTCTCTGAATCCTTGAGAGTATAACTGTGCTGATTTTAATTATGACATGACATATTATAAAACAAATCTATAAATACTGATGTGCAAGTCCTAGCATAATTCTGTGAATACCCCACAAAACAGGTAGTGAACATGTTCTTTCATCTAAATTGGGTCATATTAAAGAAAACCCAAAGAACCCAATTAAAAGCAGCGAGTTTTCCCAGGACTCAGTTAACAGTCTTACCTGACAATGCTCTTCTGGTGGCTTAATGACTTGCACTGAGCAACAAAGATGAAGAATTCCATTTATAAAGACAAATTGTCCTGGAATTTTTCTTCTATTATAATGTTTTCAATTCATATTAGTGACAACTAAAACAAGGAAGAAACTTGACTGGATCAATCTAATGAATTATAGCTCTAAACATGTCACTTCTCTTAAACACCTCCAGTGACTCTCAAATGACTTCAAGACATGCAGGTTGGCATGCAAGCTCCACCATGACTTGGCTACAGCTTAATTCATTTCCCAAGACAACTCTTTCCCTTCCACCCACCTTTCCTCCATATCCTTCACTGCAGCAGAGGATCATCCATCTTCCCCTAAGAACCACCTGCACTCTTCAGGTGTCTTTGCAAATGCTGGTCCTTCTCCAGGAGAGTGTATTTGTGAGTGTAGTTATTTGGGACATCCTTCAAGGCTCTGCTCACTTTTTCCCTTAATCCTATGATTGCACCAAAGGAGAGGTAAGGGGTTAGAAAACTCCCCTTCTCATAATGCTTAAGAGGAATACAAAGACATCTCAATAAACATAATATCTAAATAAGAATAGTGTGATTGTCGTATAAACAGAAATTGAAGACAGAAGTCTTTGGGCCACTCCCACCCTTCCAACAGGGTTGCCACCTCTAATCTTATACAAAAATTTTGGCGCTGCCTCTGATTCGATCTCCCTTTAAAAATGAATCTTCTTTCTCTTTGTGCCCATAGCATGCAGTTTTACTTTGGCCTTGACTACATCCCATCTCGGTAACAGTTGTTTGCGTTTAGACTGCCGTGTTATTTCCCCTGCTATTTCCTGAGAGCAGGAATTGAGGCTTACTCACCAGGTATCACTCACACTGCTTAACTGAGACAGAGCATTACTCAAAGTAGGTGTTCAATACTTAGTGGCCTGGAAATGAGAACAGACAAATTGAGAGGCACAGACTGAAAAAATCAAGCCATGATTAATGACTTAGCCTTATTAATTTCAAGTACACACACTAATAGTTCTGTCAGTGATTTCTGTCTATAATCTCTTTGGCTTTATTTTCAGATCATTTCCTCCCTCAGTTCTGTTTATTTAGTCCCCACTCTGATGTTCCTAATGTATTAGTTCCCAAACTACATTTTTGAATAAGAACAAAGAGTTTCGTTGTTAAAATTAAAGTATGGACATCCTTTTCCCAATTCCCACACACACACAAAAATAAATTTATGGTTAGTATGTTTTCATCTTAAATTTTGTTCAAACCTTTGTTATTTCAACTAGAAGCTATGCACGCAAGTATATAGTTAGTTAATTTAACAATATTTCATGCGTTCATGTACAGAGAACATGATTTTTCAGTTGTTCACCTGAATACCAGAGAGAATCACTCTCCCAACCCTTTAACATAACATTGCACCAAGAGGTTCAACTATTAGTCTGCTTTTCTAAGGATCTACATTTTTTAAATTGCATAAGGAAACTAATTTTAAGTGTAGATTATAGAATAAAGATAACATATTTCAGTATCTAAAATAATATAAACTGGAATACAGTCAATGTAATTTTTAAAAGTGGAGAAAATACACACAAAAATTTACAATTTGTAAATTTCATGTTACAAATGGTGGTTTAATTACAAAATGCAGCATTTTCCTCTGTGATGTGAGTTACTGGTCAGTGCCAGATATTACGATAGCCTTTTATAAACTAACGATCAAGTCATGTCAATTAAAAAACCTTTAATTATTTTGTGCCTTTTATATCTGTCTATATACAGATACTTTTATCTATCCGTTTGTATATAGGGAAACAGATACATATATACCCACATACACCGTTTTATTGGTTTTTTGTTTTATATCCATAACTTGGTCTTCTATCTTCAGACTCTGTTAATGCCTCTGTTGAGACTGTTTTTCTAGCAAAATCGTGATAACCAGCCTTGGCAAGTGCTGCAGTGCTGTGAGTTTAGATTCATGATTCAATAATGCCCTAGGAGTCTCAGATTAAAAGTGCTATGGAAACGTACTTTCCATGTACCTTTCTTACATATTCAAGGCAGAGTACACAGCTTCTCCATGCTGCAGCTGAGCATGGCTGCTGTCTACTAAGCACCATGACATTTTGTTTCCAAACAGACTGCACTGCCCTGATGAATACTGCAGTTCGTCACAGAACTGTTTTCTTTATTCACTTCCTAGAAATGGAATGAGCTATTACTTAAGACCCCAAATCTATCTCTAAAAAATTTTAGTCATATGTTCCCAATACATTATGACATTATTAAATTATTTTGAAGTCTAAAGCCAGAAAGAAAAAAAAAAACAACTTCTGTGCTGTCCCTTCAAACAATAGATGCCAAACTTGCTATTTTTCTGTTTCTTGTAACATACTACTTCAATAGGTTTACAAAGCATGAAGGTCCAAAAATAGCCTTCAATTTTTCTACAATAAATCTAAAATTAGCAACTTCTTATTTCCAGTCTATGAGGGGTTTTTTTCCCCATAAAGTCTCTATCAATTTAAAAATAAGCAGATAAGGGCATAAATGTGCACCTATCTAGTAAAAGTATCCTAATAAAAGTGTGAAAAAAAATATACATGGTCATTTGCATTCTACTGGGAAATTCTTTTAGTCTTAAACTTTTCCATAGCACTTGATATTTCAGAAACCTGTAGAGTCTCTTTCACTTTCATCAAGTAATACCAACCAACCAGATCCATGAATCTTTGATTTAACTTTTTCTAAAACTGAAAGAAATTTTCCTATGGAGAATCCACATTTTTGTAACTATGTGAGGCACTGGTCCTATTAATGTCAGTTTATTAATCGTGAGAGCATAGAAAATGACTTATTCAGCTATTAGGAGATAAACTATTGTCTTCATTTATACATAATACGAATGTTCATGCAATAATTAATGTAGGTACTTGGGGAAGAATTTTAGACAAATAAAATAATTGTTTTAAACAAAATAAAAATTTTAAATCTGTGAAAAAGGCAATCATGTAGCTCGTTTAGAATTCAGCAGCTGGATAAACTTTTTCTTTTTTGACAAATAATGTGCTTCCTCTTTTCCGATTACAAGAATTAGAAAACTCACTCTGTTTCTTCTGACTTGGCTGCCAGGAAGCTCAGGAGTGACCTAAGGGCCCATTCACAGCAAATGGTTTCCTGCTCATGTTTAAGTATATTCTTTTCAATTTTTTTCATGATTATTTTTACTTCACGGTTGTTTATTTCCATTTTATTATTCTGATGTATCTAAATTCTGTATATATGGAAAGAAGCAAGGAGTTCATTAATTTTGACAAGAAATTCATTCACAAACCATTTATTGTGTATCCATTATGTGTCAGGCACTATTCTATTCTAGAGGATGGGGATGAAGTTAGTTAAAAGATGATTTCCATGAGAGGAGCAAATATTTCTTATTGTATTCCTGAGAGGGGAAAAAAAATCTCTCAATCAAACCAACTTCAAGAAAATGAAAATTTTAAAGAATTTCCTTAATAGAAAAGCCTGCCAACATCAGTTTAACACTCACAAAGAGGAAGTTAATATAGTGAGTTTAGTTATCTTTTGACTGTTGCTTACAGGGGTATGGAAAACTGGTTACTTAATTATACAACCCTCTTCTCCAGTGTCCTGCAGTAAAACCAGCCTTCCTCCTTGGGCATGTGCTAGGTACTAATAACATCACTCATGAAATAAAAGCTTTTAAATAAATTGCCCCTTAATAACAGAGATCAATTTAAACATTCTAATCTCCAAGAAAGGGGCCTTTGGGTCTTAGACTTCCTACCTTGAAGCTTCTGATGTAAAAAATAAGTAGCACCTATTGGCGCAAGCCAAGAAAAAACGATGCACTTTTTGTGGGTAACCAGGCAAGGATAATTGTTAACTGGTAAAGCAGTTCCCTTTTATGGATGACTTCAAGGTTGGTGGGCCTAAATTTCCCCCTTGCTTTCAGCTTTGTTTTGCTTTACTAGCTTGCAAATGTGTGTCGCACGGTGACCCTAGGTTGGCCTGCCTGCTGCCAGACTGATGTTGAGAAAGGTATTGAAATTTACAAGGATCTTGCCTTTGGCCTCCACTCTCAGGGTGCAGCATTCTCACACACTTTAAAGTGTTGCCAGCTCACAATAGCCTTGTAGTCAGGGAAGCCAGCCCAGCAAGGCTGCCCACAGACGCACGTGCATGTCACCTGCCCCAGCAATTGCAAATAGACTAGCACATCTTGGGGCGACCTGCTCGTCTTCCATTTGCAAGAGAAAGCTGTGTAAATAATTATATTTCAGAAAGGGCAAAATATTGGACTTCTCAATATGAACTATGTGCACTTAGCCTTTTCAGACTAACATAAAGGTCTTTAAATAACAGAGCTGCCTGTATTTCACTGTGAAGCTCAGTTAAAACATTTTTTTAAAGTGGTGTCATGTCTTAGTGACTTTCTAACGAACCCAAACACTGGAGTGGCTGACACTTTTTACAGTAACTGTAAGCAGTACCTCAAAGGATTCAGAGAAGTAACAAAGTGTGACCACTGATCTTGAAAAATCAGAGTGCTCTAATGAGGAAAAAAGCAGACCTAGAATTAAAAAAAAAAAAAAAAATCCTGCTTTCCTTCCAAAAATGCTGCAAGGAGCATTTTAAAATGCAGCAAAGTAATCACTTCATTAATTTATGCAACACAACTCAAATTTTGTGGGACAAGCTATAACAGGGTCAAAATGGCCAGATGTATAAAATACAGGTGCAAAAACTGTAACTTTATATTAAGACATCTCACGTCAGTAAGTGAGTTAAATCACAGAAGGACAAAACAAGGAGGAAAGGACCAATTTCGGGAAGACAGCTGAGTCTTTCCTCCTCCATTTCGTTTAGATCTGTCTTTCTGGGCTTTCTTTCCTAATGGCATTTCGTTTGTAGGGAAGTTCTTCGTATCTTTCGGTCTAATTATCTCATTGTACAAATCTTTGAAAATGAACGAACTGTGGTTTGCTCTGCGCGCGGACATCTTTTCTTCTGCCCGAGTTCTTCCTAAGCCTTCAACCAAGTTTCACTGAAAAGGATGTCGCTGAGGGGCGATGAAGCTTGAAATCCCGCGGTTTTCTCATTCTCTTTTCTTTCTCTCTGCAGACGCCACCCCTACACCTCGCTCTCGCACTCCAGAGAATCCACCACCGTTTTTAATAATGCTGGGGCGTTTTAAAGAGTTTCCTCCGTTTCTCCCTCTGACCCGAGAAGCACTTTCAGTGTTAGACAAGGCGCCTGACCAGGGCATAGGCAAATGGGATATTACAGGGGAATAAAAGACCTAATTGAAATATCTCGTGCTGCCTAATTGCGATCAAGTATCTTGCAGATAAGTTAGCATGTTATTACTTTGGTCGTGTTCAAAACGCCGAGGTCTTTTGCCTTACGCATTCTTGTTTATTTAACAGACGTATAGAGCGCTTACCACGTACCAGGCACTGTTATAAACGTTTTTAAAATATGACCCTCTTTGCTTAAGAAGTATTTTTAAGCGACAGTAAATCCGCGTGTGCATTTCGAACGTCCCTGCCACATTTTTCTTTATAGCATGGTACAGTGGTTAAGTCTTCAGAGAACAAGTATGGAAAAACTTTAACCAGCTGCAACTTTTTTTCAAGCAAGTCATTTCCCTCTTCGCAATTCTTATAATTAAATACAGTAGGATAGTGAGAAAGAACTCTTAAATTTTTTTTCAGTGATGATCTCAGGTTTTGTCCCCGGCGTTTTGAAGCGCCCGCTAATTTGATCGCGTGGCCAAGGTTAATTGCATCTGTAGACATTCGCTTTCAGAAAAATGCGCACCCTTCGCTAAAAGTCGTGAAGGCTGAGTTCGCGCCAGGCTGGAGGCGGCGTGTCCCCGCGTGGCCTGCGCGGACTGGCCGCGGGCGCATCCGCCGGGGAGGTGGGACGGGCGACCCGCGCAGATCTGGCTCTTCCCTAGCCGGGCTGTGAGGACCGAGAGCCGAGTGACGTCGGGGGAGGTCAGAGCCGAAGGGAGGCGAGCCCGCTCGGCTCCCCGCAGCGCGCTCAGGCAGCCGGCGCTGCAGCGAAGCAAAGGCCCGGAGACCCGCGCGGAGGGGAGGCCCACAGCCGAGCTGGGGGGTCACCGCCCCCCGCGGCCTCGAGCTGACCGGGTGCATCCCCACCAGGCCCCGCCCGGCTCCCGACGACTGTGTGTTTTGCCCGGTGTTAAGTTTCAGAAGTCAGGATGGAACGTTTCGGGTTTCTGTTCACACGGTTATTGCAGGCGCCGCGGTGGGGACCGCACAAAAGAGACGAGGGCGTGTGGGGAAGGGGTTTTGTGGTTTAACGAGGGCTTAACCCGCGGACTGCAGGTCCTTCCCGCTCTCCCCCTGCCCTGCCCCGGCCCGGGCCCGGTCTTTTCAAGTCTCATCCCTTCCTCTTCTCCTCCCCGCCCCGCGCCGGTCTTGTGTGAGGAGAGAATGGAGTGTCAGAGGGGTACGCCCTAAGCAGATCCCCAGAAAAATAAGACTTCGTCGTGGCGTAGGGCTGTGGTGACTGATTGACGCCTCTGTCTCAGAGGCTTTTCTGCCCTAAGCACCGAGCTGTCCCGGCGCAACGAGTGGAGTCTCGAGCTCAACCCCGACCAACCCGGCGCCCGCCTCCCGGTACCGCGGCGCCCCGGCGGGCCCACCGCCTCCCGCTGCCCTCGCATAGACACAACTGCGTAGCGGGTTCAAACAACTACCTCAGAGCATGGATGGAAAGAGCAGCTTGAAAACATGTTTTACAAGCACATCTAGAGTTTTATACAACCCACGCTGTCCAATGCACTAAAGACTGGACACGCATTCGTCTTTTAGAAAACAAATTAATTTCCAAGCGCGATTTTTTTTTCACGTCCGGGATTCTACTTAACTCTACCGCTGCGATTACCCAAACCAGGGAGTGTGAATTGCAATTATCTGGATAATCCAAGCCCGAAAAACTCGAACTTGAAAAACTACTAAAATTGTGTCCTGAAATACCCGCATCATTGCTCTATCCCTTCCTGCCACCAGAGTAGACACAACTCCAGCCCACGGTCTACTCAACGGGATCTATTATCCACAGCCTCAGTGGCCAAATGGAAAGAACTGATTAGGTGCAATTAGAAAATCGTTTGGTGGCCGGTCTCTCAGACCCTCCGACCGCCAGCTGTCAAGTACCTGGTCGGGGAAACTTGCGTCCTTATCTGTTCACAGCCCAGAGGCCGCGGAAGTAGCCTTGGGAGTTGCCAAAGAGAAAAGCAACTTTGATTTAGGGTTTTCGAAAACCCCAGAGGGCAAATGTGACCGCCAGGGTCAGTCAGTCAGCAGTTTTGGTCCAGACAAGGGACAGCCGAGTGGGGCGGTTCGGTTAAGCCACGGCGCCTCCCGACGTCACACACGCTCGCTCACACTCAGCCACGCGCTTGGGGTTATTCTTTAAACACAGGGCTGAAACTTCACCGACAGACTGCTGGGTGCGGAGGAGCGCCAAAACCCGAGGTCCAGAGCCCGCCCCTCGCCAGCCCGCCCCCGCCCCCGCCCCCGCCGCGCCCGCGCCTGTGCCCACGTCCGCGCGCTTCCCTATCTAGAGTTAGCGACTTCGCGCTCCTACTCGCCGCCGCCTCTCCCCACCCGTGCTCTGCTCCCGGGCCCCAGATGCGCGTCCGCGTTCCCACGCCTCAGCCGGAGCTCCGCGGCGGGCTTTGGCGAGAGCGGCCCCGCCCCTCCGCTCCGGCCAATCCCGGGCCACGCTGACTCCCGACGAGGCGGTGCCCGGCGGAGCTGCGGGGGCCTGCGCGCTGGAGGCGGGCGAGGGGGCCCCGCCCGCGCGGGGAGGCGTGGCCGGCGCCGGCTCTTGCGGCCGAGCTGGGCTGCAGCGTGGGAAAGAGCCGCGAGGAGCCGACTGCGCCGCCGGCTGAGCCGCGCCTGCCCGGGCCCAGGGAGGGCGGGAGGGAGGAGGCAGGGAGGGCGCTGCGTCCGGCTTGGTGTCCGAGGCTCCGGCCCGGCTGCACCCCGCGCGGTGTTCGCCGTGATGAAGCGCCCTTGCGAGGAGACGACCTCTGAGAGCGACATGGACGAGACCATCGACGTGGGGAGCGAGAACAATTACTCGGGGTGAGCGCGGGCTCGGCGGGAGCTGTCCGGAGCCCGAGGCATCGGGGAGCTTTGTGTACGAGCGGCTACTTGGAAATCCCGAGGTTCCTCTCCGCCGCGTTCTAACCGAGCGGGGAAAGTTTTGCCCGAAAAACTTTCAGGGGTGGGCGCTCACGGAGCGCGTGTTCGGGTGGGGCGAGGCATGTGGGTTTGCACCCTAGGGGTGGGGCGGCTGAAAGTGTGCAGAGGTTGGAGAAGGAGGGTCCCCGGCTGTCAGCGTTGGGCGTGCGGAGTGGCACGCCCGGGAGACGGGCGACGCCTCCGCCACCGAAACTGCATTTGGGAGCACTTTCAAAATGGGCCAGGCGAAGAGAGAAAAAAATGATTTTTTTTTATTTTTGAAGAGACTAAAAGATGACTTGCTTTTTGGAGCCATGAAAGCAATTAGCGATGTCAAGGCTAAGTAGGCTGAGATTTCCAAGTTGATCGTATGTGACTTGGCTGACGGGAATGTGAGTGACAGATGAAGGATCGTTTCAGGCATCATCTCTTTGCTTGTTCCTGAGTCTGGAGAAGATCGAGATCGTGATCACGGAAGCCAGACCTCCACTTTCCAGTGACAGTGGGAGGTTATGGAGGCGTTTTAGTGCCAAGGCGGGTCAAATGATAATTGCTTCTAATTGGCATCCCCAGAAGCACCTTAATTATTTATCTGCAGCTGTCACTTAAAGAGTAAAATTCTACGTTTGGAAAACTGCTTTTCTTTCAATATTATTATTCTAATATGTACAAACCTTAGACTGGAATCATTAAAAGCAAAGATATTCGCTTGAAACGTTGTTTGCAAAGTATCTTCTAATTATTAAAGTGTTGTGTCATCTTAAAAAATGAGATCCGAAAAACAAAGATGTCATGTGAAAGGTGAAACCAGTTGAGAAGGGGATGGGAATGAGGGGAACAGTTAATTCAGAAATAAGATCCAGAAGTGAGAAGGTGAGGTAATAAGAACCTGGTGTGTGCAATATTTCTATAATGAAAGAGAACAAATAACAGGAACCTGGAGAATTTGAGAACATGAGGAAGCAGAGTATCTATGAATTATGAAGAGAAACAGATACAAACTAGAAAGGATCATAAAAATTATGTGACAATATAGTGATTTGACTGAACTTTTGATATAAAATATTTTTTCATTAGCAAACTCAAGATGGATTACAACTCTGAGAGGTTTAAGCTTAGATTGAAGGCTGAGAGATACTCACCTAGAGTTTTATTTTCAAAGTAAAACATTTACCTAGTAGTTGATCTAATTTTAATTTTTCTATTAGTGGCATATTTAATTTTGGGTCATTCTTTTGGAAGATTAATATAGAAAACATTGAATTTGTCATTCTTTTCTTGTATGACTACTTGGAGTTTTGAAATAGTAAGCTAACTTCTGTTTATTTTAAAGATTGCATCTAGGGACAACAGTTTGACATGTGATGGCTGTATATCTGTTTGATAGTAATTATTTTAAAATAGCTTTGCTTTGTTCAGTGGGTCTTACCAGAGGGAGGAGGAGGGATGCTATTAGAGATTAATTGACTTTTAAGAAACATTTATGAGTGGAACTAGGAAGTACTAATATCTAACTTCTCACCCTGACTGCCCATAATTATTTCATTGGGAGGCTCAGTAAAAGTTTAGGGACGTTTTTGCCAGTGGATTTGACATCTGGATTAGTCATTAAAATTAAAAGAAAAAAAGGCATGATTCCTATCTGAAAAGAGATATAAGGGCTGAAAGCAAAGTCTGTAAAGAGCAAGAATTAAGAATAAAATAATGCTGATCTGAACTGTGGTATCACTCTGAATATTTAATGGGTGCCATCAAGCACCCAGAAGAAAACAATTGTTATGTTAATGCAGCACCTGACAAACTCTTCTTATTTCATAGACAAAGTACTAGCTCTGTGATTAGATCGAATTCTCCAACAACGACATCTCAGATTATGGCAAGAAAGAAAAGGAGAGGGGTATGTGATTTTTTTTTTGTCTTTTTATTTCATGTAATCCAGCCTAATGTGTAGCAGTTGTATTTTTCCATTACGAGTAATTTTATCATTTGTGTATTCATGAACTTTTGTTGTTGTTTTGCTTTTTGGGGATAGATAATAGAGAAAAGGCGTCGAGATCGGATAAATAACAGTTTATCTGAGCTGAGACGACTGGTGCCAACCGCTTTTGAAAAACAAGTAAGCTGCCCCCCCATCCTGACCACCCCACCAGTGAGCTCAAAAAAGCTGATTCTCTCATCTGGCAACGTGGGTTCTTCTTAAAGCTCATTAAAATAATGGTGTATGTGCCGTGATCTGGCACAGAGCAGCTATTTCAATAAAATGCTTTGTTGTGGCAAAACTATTAAAAACATAATCCATCATGAAGTTGAAAAACATTTCCATTCTCTAGCTTATTTTCCCTTAAGGGTAACATGTTCACGCTCTCTCTGTTCTTTCTGTGAATACCAGTAGTGGTTTTGTTTAAAACTGAGCTATATGTAGTATTCTTCTTCAGAAAAGATATCTGTGTGAAATTTCATTTTTGTCTCAAACTATTCTTTAAAAAGTAAGCTTTTTATTTTAAAAAATAATCAAAGCCGAGGAAGTAACACCTCTAGCTCTATTTCCTAAATAATAATACTAACAAAATTTATTTACCAAACCACTTGGTTTCATTTTTAATCCCTGGCTTAATAGAATGATGTTTGTTTCGAGGCATCTTTGTGGAAGTTGGTAAAAAATCAAACTAGCCATAAATTCCCCTTTTCAGAATTAAAGTATTCCTTTACCAAAAAAAAAAAAGAAGGAAAAAAGATTTGCACACTTAGTAAAGTAGGAAGCCGAATTTCATTTTTGAAGAGTTGTGTTTTTCCTTCTGCCGCCATGGCTGATAGATTTCAAAGAGCATCTTTCAAAGAGTATGGCATCATACCTTTGTTGAAAATAACTTTCAATTAAATTCAAATAGGGTATAAGACAGCTGTTGTTTGTTTATTCCATTTTGTTGTTTACTTCATGAACCACAAACATTATAAAGCAAGCCCTACAAAGCCCTTGGAAATTATCCAGAAACTGCAGTTTTGTTATTAGTCACTTTCACTGAAACTACTGTACATATTCATGGAAAAACTGAACATTGATAGAAGTACAAGTTGTCAAATGCTGTTGACTATACATTTTTAAGAGAAAAAAGGCACCACTCTATATGCTGAAACTGTCTTTAATGAGCTAAATGTAATGGGCAAATTGTAGTTTTGATTATTAGCTTTTCCCATGACAATACGTTGAAAATGAAAATATCAGTAATCAGTGACGTTTTTACTTTCAGTGCTGAAATGTCTACAATTATGAGAAACAGTTTGGTGATTTTTTTGGCGGGGGGTTGGGGGGGTTGGAGTTTGTTAGATTTTTTTTCTTAAATGTCGACTTAAACCTTAAAAGCAAACCTCAGTAGTTTGGCAGTTAGTTACCATAAACACAGGCTTTCCCATTTGCTGAGCTTGGCGACCAACCCTAGAGAGCTGGCCCTGTCACAATATAATTAGAAGAGTGTTCTTTCAAGCAGTTTAAGTCACTCTGGCACTCTCACCATGTACTGGGTGCTGACAATTTTCACAAAACAAGTAAAGCATAGGAACCTGAAATAAACTGCAGTTTCCTTTTCAAGAAAACATACTGATTTAATTATTTAGCTCTTCCAAGAAATTAGAAGCCACCCACAGCCCTCTGAGACAGTTTGAAGTGGCACATTTGTATTTCAGTTGGTTTCCAGAGGTTGCCTTGTTTTAAAGTGGGGGAGGGGCATAAAAATATAATGACAATTTTATTAAGAACTATTTTAAAGGATTCAAATATCCTTAAGCATTTCTGATGCTTATTAAAGTTAGATTATGCTTTCTTGTTTATGATCTTGGAATTTACAGTGACACCTGCTGGTAATTATTGGGAAAAAAAAACCTTGAAAGTCTTCCCTTCGCACTTTTGGTTCTATACTTACAGTGGTGTCGTATGAATTACCTTAAAAGCATAATAGAATTTTCTATTTTTGAAAAATATACTTTTTAACAATAATTTGCTGAGATCCTATCTGCTTTTCCTCCAGAGTTGGATTCAACTGATCTAGACTTCAGCATTATATAAGACTATTGTATATCCCCGATAAAATATATTATTAACCAGTTTGTTGCAGTTTGAGATTTTTGCAGTTGTAGTAGTTTGAGTAGAGTTATCTTAGTGTAATTATTTTTGTGTTTAAAAATTATTATGCCTTTTAGTCTTTAAAAGTTAAAATGGCAAATATCTGTCATTAGGTGTGATGCAATTAGTGTTTTCATGTAAAGTTCAGGAAGAATTCATATTTTTCTGTGAAAAAGTTAAACTTAGAATTTTCTAGTGAGAGGGAAAATGAAAAATTCAGGGTAAGTTGTTCCAAATTCATTTCCATAGGACTTATAAGATTTTATTATTTGTTTATCCAGGGATCTGCAAAGTTAGAAAAAGCTGAAATACTGCAAATGACAGTCGATCATTTAAAGATGCTCCAGGCAACTGGGGGTAAAGGTAAGTAGGTGACTTCATCCCCCCCACCCCACCCCACCGCCCCTTCTACCTTTCTCTTTTCATTTTTTCTCCCTAAGATTGTAAGGAAGTCATAGTTGAACAGTTCTTTAACGAGCTGCGATAGGAGGTCCCAGATTAAAGCCGTGGAAATCAATGCTAATGGCAGGATTGAACTCGTGGGAAAGAACTTCTGGAACAAAAGAAGCACTTGACCCTGGGCTTGTGTTTGCTTTTATAATACTGTGGGAGTAAAGCTTCATTCACAGCAGCCTGGTCAGAGGTTTGTTTGGGACTTTCAGAAGTGCATGCTGGAATTTGTACAGAAAGACAAAACAAACACACAAACATCCAAACATAAACAGGAGGTTAGACACAATCTTTTTCTCTTCTTTCCCTCTCCCCAGTCCCCTGTTAAATCAGGGATAGGACTCACTATAATGCAGCTATTCCAAAGGAAGTGAATTTTCATAGTTGTTCTCAGAGTTTGGTTGATCTTGGATTTAGACCACACAGAGCATTTGAAATGCAGGTAGTGAATCTCTGTCCTAGAAACCACTGATGGAGCAGTCATTCCTGTGAAGAGCAAACAGGAGCAGGTGCCCTGGGCCCAGTGCTGTGGAGAGATGTCTTCTGTACTGGATAGTGATTTAGGGAAGAATAGTCCAGTTCCTGACCCTCAGTTCATGCTATGAATGGACTTGAGATCCTAAACGATGTAGTATTCACTCAGATTTCATTATCCCACTTCTCACACATCACTCAGACTTGATTTTGCCCTTTTGTATCTTTTTCACCCTTCAAACAGGCCTTTGGTATTCATCTTAGCCAAGGGTGCTGTTCCATATATTTGATAACTGGGTAAGGAGAGGGTACCACAGGGGCTACGTGCTGCAGCTACACCCTGAACGCTTATCTCTGCTCAGCATTAACCTTTTATTATGTAGTATCAGAGTTTGCCCTAGATCAGGACAGGGGCAGGGCACTGGAGGGAAATAGCTGTTTATCAATTGGTACAGAAGTATTTCAGTGTTTAACTCCAGCTGAGGACCTGTGGAGCATCAGCCCTGACCTTCACCACCTTTTACCTGTGTCAGGTGGGGGGGTCGGTGATCATTGTAAAGGGACGCCCTCACACACGATGTGACTTAACCTCTGTTGTACCTTCTCAAGGAACCGTCCGTCCTGCCTGAATAACCATCCTGAATGGGTATGGAATTGTGATTTCTACTCTTTAAAATGTAACCCTCAGCATAGGCTGCAAATATTCTTACGTAATAGGGAAGAGAACTGGATGAAATTCTAGAAGCCTGTGATCCAGCCCAGCTTGGCCACTGACCCACCTTTAAGCCGAGACAGAGGTGCTGGGCTGCACAAGGAGGCCCGTACTAACACTCTGAGCCCTCAAGGCCCCCCACCGCCCCAGGATTCTGTCTCTACACCTGCTCCCTCAGGATGTTAGGGGACTGATCGGGTTAGTGATCGTGCAGGGAAAGTTGTTTGATTGCTTTACTTCCCTTGGCATTGTTAGCCACAAGGCTAAGAATTTTTATCAGCGTTTCAAATATTTGGCATGAGCTATACTTCTAAAGAGTAATATTGTTCTTATGCCTTATTATAAACACTAAGTTCCATCGTGGTTGCTATTCTTGGCTACCTGAACAGTCCTAAAATTCATCCCAAAATATTTTGTGAACAGACATTTCCGAGCAAGCTCCATACGAGTCGCCTGACTGCCAGCTCATTAGAGAGGTCACCTCACAGGAGAACGTGTGGGCCTTGAAGAAGTGGGGCTGGCAGTGTGGGCTCGAATTGTTAAAGACTCACAGCTGCTATGGGGGCCTCAAAATGTACTGGTGAAGGACAGACACTGCATTTGGGTTGCCTGGTTTCAAATCCTGGCTTGTTTTTCTTTTTTTTGGTCTGTGACCCTAGATAAAGGACTGACCTTTTCTGAACCCCAGTTTCTTCATTTGTAGAATGAGGACAGTGCTAGTGTTCACTTCACAAGGTTGTTGTGAGCTTATTCACTTAAAGCCCAGAGAGCAGTGATGGAAGTGGTGTGGACCCCTGTGCTATGATTATTGGCCCAAGATGCGGTCGCAGGAAACAGTTGCTCATCGTCATTTCCCTCTGCATTCAGCAGCAGTATAGGAATTACATAATTTATATTCCTTAAGATGCAACAGAGAACTCACCCATATACAACCCCATACAGCTGGCAAATCACAAATTTCAATTACTTCATGCCGACTCATGAAGATACTTGGAAGCTCCTGGGGTACAATTCTGTTGGTCCATTCTTTAATCTGTCTTGGTATTGCAGGAGTTTCTAGAGAGGATTTAGTAGAGTAACCTAAATTTCTAGATCCCTCTGGGTTTCTGGACTCTTGTCTACTCTGATGATTATCTCCCTTCTCTCATGAAGTCAGAAGTCTGCAAAGCCTTGCAGAGAACCCTGAGGACTCTTATGTGAAGTCTTTCTTTGGAGGCGTCTTCTTCAGGAAGAACTTTACATCCTAATGCCAGGAGCTTTATTGCTAACCATGCTGAAGTCCTGGGATGATGACTCTTTTTGTTGCTATCTTCCACATTTCATGATGTTCTCTTATGTCAGCTTTGTGCTGTTGTTGTTACTGTCTTAATAGTGTATATTTTTTCCTCAAATTTCTTTTTGGGACTTCCAAATTTCTGTTGAAATTCTAGCTCTTGGACTTTGAATACTGTGACTACCATTTTCCAAAGTGCTAATCTAATTGTTAATAGATGATAAACAAAACAGGTAATACTTTGATCTACAAAAACATAAAAAAGGGAATGTAGTAAATGCCTTAGATGAAAATAACCTTGTTTGAATGTGATATTTCTCATTTATGTATATACACATCCCCGAAGTGAGTAGACTAAATTTTAATTTGAAAATTGTTTAAAAAAAAAGTTGCAAATGAGAAAAAATGTCTAAAAAGGATACGTTTATACATATTAGAGGTCACTTATTCAAAGTGGTGACATTTCCCCAAATGTGATTATTATCAGTACCCTAAATTGGCACCGATACTAATCAGATGTTACTATTTTCTATTCTAATGTATTCTTTGGATAAAAAAGGATTCTCATAAATGTGACCAGCTCTAGCCATTTTAATGGTAGTAACCTTAGGTGTAAGGGTATTTGCATACACACTGACACAATTAATAGACATTTTTTTCTTGGACGGATGCCAGAAAAAAGTAAGCTAACCAATGAAAGAAATATATATTTGGACTTCAGGAAAACTAGGAGTTATAGTAATGTTATATTACCTGATAGAAAAATAAGATCTTCAAATTAGTAACCAAATTTTTAAAAATCATTTTGCTTCTTTAACTTTTTTCCATACAAAGTAATGATGTTTTCATTTTGTTGATAAAAAACACTGAGTCAAGAAGCATTTATGAATTTATTGAGCAGTTCTGGCACATTTCTAAAAAGTCCTCAAACTGCTCATATGCATTTCACATCTCAGTTATAAATGCCAAGAGAGTGAGGATGTTTCAGATAAACCCTTTAATCTCCAATTCTTGTGACAGAGACAGAGAGACTGGTACTCTGTTATACCGTGGAAAAGTTTACTAGAAAATTTCACTATCCCACAATACAAAAGAAGAGACACCATTTTTTTTTTTCTCGAAGTGTTTGAAACACAGATGTTCTTAATTCTTTTCCCCACTGTGCTATTTGGTTGCAGGAACAACTGCAGTACATAGCATTGCCAGAGTTGTCACACATGTGAATTGCAAAGCACACTTTCTTAACTTCTGCAAAAATTACAACCATAAATAGCTGGCAACGTTCTCAGAAAGGATCGTCGTTCTTCTTAAATCTCTGAAGGACAGGGTGGAACGTAGGTGGTGGCTACTCTTCATAATTGTATCGTTCTTTCTCTCACTGTCTCTCCTGGCCCCCACTTTGCTCAAACCTCCTTTCAGGCTACTTTGACGCCCATGCTCTTGCCATGGACTTCATGAGCATTGGATTCCGAGAGTGCTTAACCGAAGTGGCAAGGTACCTGAGCTCTGTGGAAGGCCTGGACTCCTCCGATCCACTGCGGGTGCGCCTGGTCTCTCATCTCAGCACGTGTGCCTCACAGCGAGAGGCGGCGGCAATGACCTCCTCTCTGGCCCACCACCATCACCCCCTGCATCCTCACCACTGGGCGGCGGCCTTCCACCACCTTCCGGCAGCCCTGCTCCAACCCAGCGGACTCCACGCCTCAGAGCCCACGCCTTGCCGCCTCTCCACCACTTCAGAAGTGCCTCCTGCCCACGGCTCCACCCTCCTCACGGCCACGTTTGCCCACGCAGACTCTGCCCTTCGGATGCCATCAACAGGCAGTGTCGCCCCCTGTGTGCCACCTCTCTCCACTTCTCTCTTGTCCCTCTCAGCCACTGTCCACGCGGCCGCTGCAGCAGCCACAGCAGCTGCGCACAGCTTCCCTCTGTCCTTCGCTGGGGCGTTCCCCATGCTTCCCCCAAACGCAGCTGCAGCAGTGGCAGCTGCCACAGCCATCAGCCCTCCCTTGTCGGTATCAGCCACGTCCAGCCCTCAGCAGACAAGCAGTGGAGCAAACAGTAAACCTTACCGACCCTGGGGGACAGAAGTGGGAGCTTTTTAAGTTTTCACTGAACTTCTTGCAGTAGTAACTGAATGTCCTTCATTTCAGAGTCAGCTTAAAACCTCTGCACCCTGAAAGTAGCCATACAGATGTCTGCGGATCCACAAAGGAACAATAAAGCTATTTGAGACACAAACCTCAGAAGTGGAAATGTGGTATTATCTTTTTTCTCTGTTTTGGTTTAAGGCAGTTTGGTAACTGACATCAGCAACTTTTGAAAATGTCACACTTGTTTTCATTTAGAAGTCTCCTGGAAAATATACGGACTGAACCATCCAGCAGTGCATCACAATGTCTGAATTGGGGAAGAAAAATGCCCTGACTGAATTTTCTTGAAAGTAAATGGAAAAAAAAAATTCATGTTTCATAAGTGCCTGAGCTAGTAAAGTTTTCTTTTGAACATACAACGTTGCACAAGTAAAGAAGAGCGTAGAGGTTAGGTTAAGAAAGGAGAAGGGACAGAAGTCTTGCATTAGGCTGCAGACATTTTAGTACAAATACCAGAAAAGAGCACTCTGTTGAAATCAACAGGTTTTTATTGGCCAAAAGGATTGCTGAAAGTAATTTTCAAGTTGAGAAACCTAGTTTTATCTTAGTTTGCTTTTTTTGTACAAACTTGCCAAGTTGTGACATTTAACAATGTATTAGTATAAGCAATTATTACGTCAGTGCTCAGATTAACAAGGATTTCTGCCCTGCCTGCAAACCCCCAGGCACTTTTTTTTTTATGGCTCAAAATATGGTGCTTCTTTATATAAAACATGCATTTATAGAGTGCACCTAGAAGCAGTTGCCTACTGTGTGCCCACCAGAGGCTATCTGACTCATGCCAACTTGAAAACTCTCCAGTTTGTAAAAGTTTAATTTATTCAGTTTCATTTGGACTATTTTTACATATTTATCCTCTTCATTTCATCCCAATAACGTGTAAAATCTATTCTTGTCACCTTTTGGGGAGAAGTTGCATTTCTGGAAGTGATGAGGCAGGGAGAGAACAACGGGAAGAGAAAAGCCACGATTTTTAAATGTCCTTTGTCAAGCTTGTGATTGTATTTGATCCCAAATCAAGATGAATGTATGCAATGGGATGTACATAAATTATTTTTGTCCATGCCTAGACTAGTGCTACATAATGGTGTTTTGGTTTTGTTGTTTTTATTTTGTTTAATGACAAAATAATCTCTTAATACTTTGAAATTGAGCACGTGAGAATTTATGTTTGAGACAAAGACACAGCATGTATTATTATGCACTTCATTTCTCTGCTGTGTGGAGAAAGCAATAAACATTATGAGAATGTTAAACATTATGCAAAATTATACTTTTAAATATTTGTTTTAAAATTACTGTACCTAGTCTTTTTTGTATTACTTTGTAACCTTTTTCTATGCAAAAGTCTACATATCACTAATTAAATGAAGTCCTTTTTTGACCATTTTTATGTGGATGAGTTGCTTTGCAGAATGGAAAGTTGACATGAATTTCAAGCAAGGCCTTGTTTCACTAACAAATTAAGCCATGGCTTTTCTTTTTCTCTTTCAAAGTCATTTGATATAATTCACAGCCTTGAAAATAGCATGTATTTGAGCTTGTAAACCAATTAAGCATAGGTATGACATCATTTGGAGGCAGGAAGTGATCAGTTTCCTCTGCCTTTTATTCTTAACCATTCTTCTTGGAAAAGTGCAAAAACCAGAAGGTCAAATAACAGTATACCGAACAAAGGGTAATAAGCTAGAATGTGTCATACATTTTGGAACTCAGAAATATTTATAGAGTATTTTTAAAACCACATGCATGCATGATAGGTGTGTGTATGTGTGTGTATATATATGCCTCCTGATGATAAATTCTCTGTACCTACCTCAAGATTTCTTTTGATGCTGTAGAAATTAGGCAGGTATCCCTCCTTCTTCAGTGAAGCCTAAAATAGACTATTTCAGTTTCTGAAGCTGTTGGGCCAAACATATGAGAAGAATTTTTAAAAAAATGTTTCTATTATGCTTATCAATTATGGTTAAAGGAAAGAGTGGGAGCCTCTTATTTTAGTTTTGAAAAATCAAGCATATAGTTTATCTAATTTTTTTCTGTAAGTAGGTGAAAAAATGAGCAAAAACAGATCACCTTTGTTCCCCTTGTCTGTAAGCTCTGTGACTATTATATTGTCAGTGCTGATAGAATTAAGTAACAAATAAGAAAATGGATTTACTGGTATTTGGAGTTTGCTTTTTAATCGTGATTTGTGGATAGCAGGCATAGAAATAATTTTGATTTAGGATCTAATAGTTGATTCTGTGCCTGTTGTAATGTCAGCATTCAAATAATTTCTTTTTTTGGAATGTAAACTATTTTAGTGATCGGGATTTTTTTTTTTTGGATTAAATATTTTAAGATAAATCCCCTTCTTCCTTCTTGTTTTTATCCTCTTCCTTTATTTTTCTTATATTTTTTTCTTCCCAGTTACATATGGGTTATTATTTTTCAAATCATTTGATTAAAATATCTGCCAGCCAACATGCTACATAATTGCTAAGGGTTGTCAGTGTTCCTAAAGATAATCATTGTCAGTAATTTCAGTTGTTTGAAGTTCACTGGTTCTTGATCAGTGTTTCATATCTTCAGTTTTTAACATCATATTTCACTCTATTAAATTTACCATTGAGTTTTCCATCTCTGACCCAATGTTTTGTGAAAGTGGTGTTTCACCTTTAGTTGTGGTAATTTTCATGTTCACTACCAAAACAGAAAAAAGAAAAATTTTGTTTATAGTTCAAGGGAAAAGAACTTTTTTTTTTTTCGTTTTTTTTTGGGAAAAGAACTTTTAGGGTTTGATTTTTGGTGGGTTTTGTTTGTGTAAAAGTTAGTCCCAAAATTAACTCAAACGATTTTTGGTGGGGGGGATAAAAAACGAAAAAAAAAAAAGGAAAAGGAGGACTTTTTTAGAAATTTGGTTTTCCCCAAATGATGAAAGCTATATGTGTGTCTAATTAGAACCCAGTTTTATATTTCACATCATTGAACCAGAAAGTATTTATTGAATAACTACTGTGTGCCTAGCATTGTGCTGTCTACATCAGCTTTCTAATGTTATGGGATCCCACAGCCTGACTGATGGGTATGACTACGACCTTAGCTATTCATAGGGACCCTCAAAAGAAGCAGGTGCCCTGAAAATGAGGAAACGGGTTCCTAGGAACTAGCCAGGGAAGCTTTTTCTCTCCTTGGGATCTTTGGCAATTACAAATATGATATTTCCTATCATATTTGGAGAAATCTGAGGGACTTATTTTTTTATATAAATTTATTTTTAATTTTGGCTCTTGGGTCTTCATTGCTGCACGCAGGCTTTCTCTAGTTGTGGTGAGTGGGGATTACTCTTCGATGCAGTGCTCGGGCTTCTCATCGTAGTGGCTTCTCTTGGTGTGGAACACGGGCTGTAGGCATGCAGGCTTCAGTAGTTGTGGCACGTGGGCTCAGTAGTTGTGGCTCACGGGCTCTAGAGTGCAGGCTTAGTAGTTGTGGCGCACGGGCTTAGTTACTCTGCAGCATGTGGGATCTTCCTGGACCAGGGCTCGAACCCATGTCCCCTGCATTGGCAGGCAGATTCTTAACCACTGCACCACCAGGGAAGTCCCTGAGGGACTTTTAAAGTAATGTTCAAACATAAAATAGTTCAAATATTAACTAGAGTGATGGTTGTATGATCCACATGTATCATCAGTCTTAAAGAAGCCTTTTAAATTATCTTCCTTATTATATATTCAACTTGTGCCTTTGCCAGTAATTAAGTTAACACAAAGTAAGAGTAATCACCTCAGGTAACATCATCACAAAGCAAGATAATTTTAGAATTTCATAATTTCATAGGTCTAAGACTCCATCAATTACAAGATACACTATTAGTTTAAGGTCAGATTTTAAAGAAAAGTACCACCACAAAATAACTTTACACATCCCAATTTCCAAAGTGTAAAACTTTTTTTCAAAATTGTATCTTGGATTTGAGGCACTACTATATTATATTCGAATGTGATTTTTAAAATCCATGGCTAGAAATGTACATAGATTAAATGTGGGTGATTTAGCTTACTTTAAAAATACCAGCATAGGGTCTTAGTCAAATCAAAGAATCTGGGTTGACTTTGTAATGGCTTAATGATCTAAAGATAGATATATATTTTTTAAGCTTTTCATGTTTTTATTGCCCAATGGGACTATTCCTAGTTCTGCATTTTACTGAAGAATGGAGTTTGACTTCCCCTTGTAATTCTTTTAAGATCTAAGCAACTGAGGCTGTGAGCGTTTCAGCAACTATAACAAAGCATTACAGCAAATATGACATCATAAACTGTGACTATAGCTCATATTCTTTGGAAGGAAGGATAAGTCTTTGAACTTGGATGAGACATCTTTAAAAGAAGAAAAGTCCCTTGGCTTCCATAGACAAACTTGTTTGAGGGGCCAGAGGCAGATGAGAAATGGTTCCTTAGGTCCCAGTTGGCACTTTCTCCCTCACTTCTAACTTTAGAAGAACAGACATGAATGGGGTTGGCTGGTTAGGGAATCAGGTCCTCTTTTAGAACTGACAGAACCAACACACACTGTTTAAGTCACAGGTCTTAAAACGGATATAAGATGTAATACTAACTGTTAATGTTGTTTGGTTCTCTGTGCTAAGCTCCTTGCTAAGTGCTTGCAATCTGTTACCTCACTTAAGCCTGGTTAACTATCCTATAGAGTGATAGTCTTATTACCTTTACATATTAGGAACTAGAGAATAAGAGGTTGATTTTCCAAGGTTATACCTAGCAGTTTGAGCTGTGACTCAGCCCAGGCCTGTCTGATTCTGAAGCCCATACCTTTGACCTCTAGGCTGTGGCTTCTGGCAGTACTTTTGGACTCACTCATTCAGACTAACCAAGAATCTCAACCTGCCTGAGATCACTTTGAGCTAAATACGAGTAAATTAGCATAAAAATCTCCACCATCTCTCCCTTTTAATATATGAAAGGATAAAAAACCTCCACTTTCTTCTGTAATGCAACGTAAAAGGAAATTATTTTGGCAGTTCCCTAGTTTTAACTTTCACCTGTCAAGCAGTTGAGAGTTAATAAAGTTTTAAATTACTTATCTTAATCAGTGAAGTTATCCTCTGTTAAATCTACCAGAAATATTCTATAATCTCAGTCAAAGTGGTTGACAAAAGTGAGGCAAAATAGTGACATATTAAGACTGGATAGCTGAGTAAATTGAGTTTGAAAAAAAAATCCTGTCTTCCATTAGATATAAAAGATAAGAGTTTTTTTGAGGGAAAAATGCTGGATTATTCTGAATGTTTATACATTCCAGGTCCATCATGTCATAAAACAACATTCTTCATTTGGCCTATGAAGACCTGCTCAGTAATCCATTCACTTTAACAAGTCTTGTTATCAGGAAGGGGTTTTTAACTAACCTAAACTCTTCGGCCTGCAGTTAAGCATGCTTTCTATAGCAGTTAACAGTCTATATGTGTATAATTTTGCAAAAATCTTATATCCAGAGACATTTTTATATGCCTCTAAATTCTTAGTCTCCTGAGAACTGAATATTCTGTTTCCTTGACCTCTGCTGTCATTCTGTTAGTCTGTGGGAATGAAGAGATTTATGCATATGAAATGGAATATGCATGTAATAGAATGCCTTATAAACTTATTTTTTAAGGGGTAGAAAGTGGCAAGTTAACGCTAAAGTTTCGTGCATTAAGCTTGCGTTGTAATAGTTCTATGTTTTCATTGCTGTGAAAACAGTCAAATTTTCTCCTGTGGAAGAAAAACTACTTTGCAAAGAATGGCTATTATTCATAATGTTTCACTTGTATAAGTAGGGTGATAAATTTTATATTGCTCATAAACTCCTGAAACAACATCTGGAGCATCTTGAGTTAACCCCTTATTTCCTGATTATAAGCTATTGAACTGAATATTATTTATCATACTATAAAACTATAAAACTCTGCCTGCTTCCTAGGCCTTCCATTGCTTTTTTTTTTTTTTTTAGCCTTTTTCCTTAATTGCAGAGAACCCAAAGACTGTGCTTTTTGTTTGTTTTTTTTGTTTTGTTTTTTTTTTCCCACCAAAACAACACGACCAGAGCTTCGTGTAGCTCTGTTTGTGTAAATTTTCTCCTGGGCCAGCAATGGCTGGCCTCTTCCCATATCCTAGCCAGTCTGTCCCAGCACAGCTGCTTTAAATAGGCTTCCCTTGGGGCCTGGCAAGATGATGGAGACGTGTTCACAGTCAGGAGGGCAAAACACAGAGGCACACAGGC